TCTTCTCTCTCTTAGTCTCCATTTAAGCCTCTTTCAAACAAGACGATAATGAAGCCTGACTGCAATAGCCGCTTGTATACCTGCCCTCTCTGGGGCTTTCTTTTATCTCCCTTTTTGCACGTCTTTCCCGACTCCTGTACATTCCAACCATCTCGAGACACCTGCTCGATCCACTTCCTGCAAACGAAGTCGTCGCGTCGGTAACTTTGTAGGTAGGTACACGTCGACGAGCGACGGGTCAATGAAAGTGATTTCTTTTCAAAGACTCCAGAAATTCCCGAGACCTTGCGACCGGTTTCCCGAAGTTCCTTGCAATTCAAGGACAAGAAACATGTAGGTACGTAGCACAGCTTCTACGTGCCAGAGGACATTTACTTCAGGTCTAAAGGCACAGTTTAATTCTCCACTCAACTATCAGTTTCTAAGATTCTATTTTCATTCCACAGCACCTCTTCTCTTTCTTGTGCCTTTTGCTCCGCCATAATAGAACCCACTGCACTTCTTATCATCTATTGCACATTATCACCCGTCGTGACTGAATTGATTTGGTTCCTGTACAGGAAATAGAACTTCTTCAATATATCGCGAGAGTCGCGTGGGTCGCTGAAAGGTGTGTCGCTCTTAAACTTAACTCTGAGTACCTATACGTTAAAGTGGAAAATAGGAGTATATAAATATGGAATGTGAGAATGTGGAATGAAGCATAAAATCCAAAGCGGATTAGGTCTCTTCCGTCACTTTCATCTCTAATCCATTCAATCGATTTTCTTCCTACGAACACGAATAAGCCATCCAATGATCTACGGATGAAATTAAAATCTTATTACAATACATATTTATTTATTATAATTAAAAAGAATTCCTTCGTCGTCCGTCATATCTGAACTCGTCACAATTATCATCCGGCCGAGTGACGTTACCGAGTCTGAATTACGTCAGTTCCTAAACCAACTCATACTGACACTACGAGGGTGTCCAATGCGCGAATCAACGCAGGGAAAATTTATACAACACGATTTAATAAAAACTTTGAAATATCGTGTGGGCACGTTTACACGAAACGATTTGACGACAGTACCCAATAGAATGATCCTCAGCATGCCAACATGTAATCGAGCTCATTGTAACTCACATTCGTCATTGCAACACGAGCGAACGTCCTCCACTTTCCGACAGTCATTGCATATTACTCCCAGCACGATATTACACGAGTAAGTAACGAGCATCGCGAGCAGCCATGACACCCTTTAGAGAATTGCACTAGTTTTGCATTCAACGAAAACGATCTTTCTCAGGAATAACGATGCAGCCTGACAGCGTGCTATCCGCATGGTGTGGGTTGAGGAGAATCAAAATGACAATAGGAGGCGATGACATCTAGAGGACCTAAAAGATAAACGTATTACCATAAATATATCCTTCGTCCAAGAGTAGGTGTAAACGAGAATGGATACTACGTACTTCATTTTGTTACCATCAATAATTTATCTACGAAATGGGTATATTTATTTATAATATTACTTGTACCGACTCGAATAGTTTCAAAGCCATCGCTACGTGCGCATAAACCATCCAGTGCATTACACATTATTGTCCAGGATACTCGGACGTTATCAGCGTGCATTATAGATGCAGGTCTTCTGTGACGAGCGGGTGCATCAACTAATGGGGTCCAACCTTTTTCTTCATAGAGGTGCAATCGACAATGCTGTGCTATCACTCTCGTTCTCACATGAGTGATCGATCGGACACACACGCCGTCGAATCGACGATACGTAACAAATCTTATTGAACCAAGGAATATTATGCAATTATGGTATATCACGAAGATTTTCAATCTTCTAACTACGTAAGTACGTGTATGCTTCGCTATATATTTATAGCTCCCGATATACTTCCTCACGTGTAATATGCCTTACGTGCAGTAATGCTTCACGTGTACTCTTCCTTGATAAACTAACGGAATTTAAACGCGCGCTGGCAAATATTCTTCTGAGGAATATAGTGGCACGTACGAATACGTAATGTCACGAGAAACGAATTCTCACACGAGTATCGCGTGCTACTCGCGAATATCTTTGGTTCAATTACCGTTCGATAACGTCTTATTAAACGGCTTCAATACGTAGTTAACTTTTGGAAGAATCTCAAAATTATGGAAAATTTGAGCCTTTACGGTGAGGAGTTGAGAGGCCGTGGTATTGGGGATCCGTGTGCTTGAGTATTCTTTGGGTTTTTTAGCTCTCTGGTAAGGTGGATTAATTGAATATTAGCATCGAGTATGGCTTGAGCTAGGTTGGGCTGGTCTCGGCGAAATTGTTATTTATTGCATTACGTACAGTGTTGCGTATAAGGGCGCAAGCTATCTCGGGCGAGCTACGCTGTGGGCGATTCTTAAATCATAATCTCAAATATTCAATTACCGGCATTGTTCTACCCCTTGATACATAGCGTGGTAACACGCGAACGCTTTTCTTCTTTTTTCTATCTTTTTTTCATTTCCTTTCTATACACAGGGCCCATCGCCCTCTCGCTAATTTCACGGTGGTTTAGGATAGAACGTTAATTAATTTAGACGAATTGCGACCATTACTGTATCTCATTAGCGTAACTCATCGGTTCATCGTGAAAAGCAATTGTTCTCATTTGCTAATGGTGCGAATATATATATGTAGCTTAATACGTATAATAAATCTCATGTTATAATGCGATTTCAACAATATTGGCAACATTGGCTGGTCAAGTTGCATTTATTACATTGAAGTAATGGTTATACAATAGGATCTCATGACAGCTGTCAAAGTCAACTGGTAATGCATATATACTCAATAACCCTGTATACATGCACGTAGATACGTTCGATCGCGTCTGGCCCGTAGCCGTTAATTAAATCTTAAATCAACCGGTGAGGTACTCTTAATTTGTGAGTCGTTGCGCTTCCGCCATTAATCATGCATACCAAAGCGATTAATTCGGTTCGCGCTGTGCGAGCAAATTGCCAAGCAAATTTTCTATCTCTATCCGATCGCAAAGGAGAAGACTCCATGGATAAAGGTGGCTCGGTTGCTTTTACGCCTATCACTCAAAGTCGCCACGCGACTCGACGTGCCGGGGTGAACGGATATCGAGTAAGTTTCTCTTAGCTGAAACGTACCGGAAACGTGGCTAACGGAAACGTATCGCGCGCGTTGTAATTCCGCACGGTTCTTCGGTACAGGAGTTTATCCAGTTCTACGTGTTATTCTGTACACTCGCCCACCGGGACCATATTCTTGATTCCCCTTGATCTCATAAATCACATCCTACGACCTACTGCTCGGCGCAATCGCTATCGCGGAGATGCTGCGCTCTTGTTTTATCGCACTCCGCTTGCGGCACGCGGATACGCATCTCGATCCTTCAGGCTGGCGATTGCGGTCTGCGATACACGGGCGAAAAAGCACCCTGCCATGGGACTCGCTACCGGTCCTTCTGGCGGGATGCTTTAAATGTTCTCAACGTTCTGGGTGAAGTCTTGGAACGTGGGATGGACTCTCAAAAATCCTGGGAATCGTGCGGAACGGCAATTAGCCTTGCTGTGGGACCCGGTCTGTACGCAATCGTAAATATGCCTTTGCTAGGATCCACTGACAGGTGCACCGGGTATCCTCTATGCAAAAGAGAAATCAATAGGGCAATAAGATACGGTAATACTCGCTGGTATCTCGTATAGGTGTTGGTCATTTTATTACCTTGAGGATGAATTACGAGTAGGCAGAGGGATGCGATCAGAGTGATATTATATAAGAATTGTTGAGAATCACTGGGAATATATTAATGTATTTATAAAATATCATATTTTCATAGTATTCATTATTGGGTTATACGAAGAATTTTGGATCTTTAAAATTATCCACTGGTACAATATTTTGAGAACATGCATAGGGACACTAATCGAGCTGAGGTGATCGGAACTGACAGTAACTACCGTCCACTTCAGTTCGATCAGGAGGGTTGATTTTATCAGGGACATCGACGTAAGATAAATTCCTGAGCGTGGCCAACCCCTCCGCCATGAAATCACGAGTGACTGGATTGACGCGCGATACGTGTCGCTACGATTGGAACGGTCTCAGACCACCCAGACGATCCCTTAAGTGCGATCAATAAACTTTCATTGCTGGCCCGAATATTCTAATCGCTCTAAGCCGATCAAACAATTCGACCTGTGTTTAACAACGAGGAAAGACAAAAATTAATTTCTCTGTTAAAACTGTTAATCGCTTATTCTGTCCTGCGGATAATCGCCTGTCGCCGCTTAGAAATGAAATCAACGTTACTTCTATGTATTCGCTAGCAGCTCCCTAGAGGCCTAAAGTGACCTGCTGTAATGTATAACGATTGTCTTATGCAATCATAAATATTCAATTGAGCTTGTTATTTCTATGACGTTACTTTCTAAACACTCTGGCGCCCATCTGCTGTTTGACTGCACGAATTTATTACAACAGATTATTTTATAAACACCCACCGGCAGTTTTGACTGTGTAAAGAAAGACGCTGATTATACTTACGTGAATTGTCTGTTTTCTCTAGCTAGACTCACTTCCACATTATGATCTCGTATACCAAGAAATCAGCTCGTTCACGAAAATACATACGCAAATGTACATACGTATACCGATGGAATTTCAATTTGTAATTCTAATCTGTATCAAGCATCCAGATTTTCTTTCTAATAACATCTTGGATTAAGTTTTCTAAAAAAAAGTCATTTGCACGGAAATAAAGTACTTCACGTTCGAAATCATCGGCGCCTGATGCCTTCCTGTTGCAATCGTCTATAAATAGCCTAACACGTGACACATTTCGACTGATGGGGAGCGACCGGCGATTTCAATGACTCAAGGAAGAATGTAGTTGCAGTGAAAATTCTGCTTACCATAAATACGCTAAAGAAATGTTATCGACTCGCTGATCGATTAATAACTATAGTTCGTCAACGAAAAATAGATATACTGTACCCCTGGTGGGACTCGAACCCACAACCCCCGGTTTAGGTAACCGATGCCTTATCCATTAGGCCACAGGGGCTCGTACTTGAAGGGTCTGCCCTTCATTGAATCTGCTCTATGAAAAATTTGTTATCGTACAATAATTATGAATTGATGCATTATAAAGCATTCGTATGAGATTACACGGTTTTGAAAAACTTTTAAATGCCGTGTAGACTACTTAGCCATCGATACTGTTTATCTTGGCTGTGTGGCTACCGAAGTTAATAATTCCAAAGCTCGTTCTCAGGTAATTCCAATGCAAATGCGCGCACTTGCCCCGCACCTCGAAGCACTGTTATCTGATTTCAATTTCTCCGCGTAATTGCTAGTGCGCTGCTGCGTTTTCCGTAAGTATAGTGATGGGAGGCTGCGTACTCGTACCATTATGCCAAGAGGCTCATACACCTCCCGATAGAGATTACCTTTAATGCTCGAATATTAACACCTTACGCGACCCTCATTATTCAAATTCAAGTTCACACATTTGTACAAGCCTGTTATTCAAATTGGAGGCAAAGTCGTGGAGTGCGTGATAGTAATTGGGATACGGTGGACACGAACTTTCAATACTACCCGGCAGCACAAGAGAACCTCTCCCGTTTAACCGCACCTTGCGTATAGAATAGCGCCAAAGGGCAGCGCCAGTCAGCCAACCTAACCAGCCCTTCCGTCCTTCTCCTCAGTTGGCAGACTTTACCGCGAACCTTCAAGACATTAGGGCCATCCTGTTCCCCTGTAAATTACATTACCGCAGCTCCTACTGGTTCCGTTCCGCCATTGGAACGTCCACGCGAGCCTAATTATCAATCAATTTCAGCGCAGTCCATTTTCTACCTACCACGCAACACTTATACAGCCGCGCCCCTGTGGCGCCCTTCTATAGATATACACATGTAGTTATGCGAAAACCAGAAGATCCCGAACCGAGATGCACGAACCTTAATTGCTAAAGTTATGCAAAAAAAGGTCTTCTAGAAGCCTCCTACTTAGCATAATGTTTCTCGCGTCTGTGATTAACCGAAACGCGAACATGCCGCACTAGGTAGCTATTTTGGAATCCGGCAGAATCGATAGTCGATACAACGACAATCGATGATCGATCTTAATCACGATCCGATCAGTTCGACACGGATGGATCGTATACTAGTTTTTCTTGACACGTGCTGGTCCTTGGTAAATTATACCGATTAGAAAGAGACAAACGACACTTTTAAAGCGTCAAGATCATTTGTACGGAAGTATCACATTGTCTTTCGCATATCTCGCATCGTTATGCCATCGGCAAGTTCCTCTTAACGACCATTATGCCACATAAATTATTGTGGGAAACACATTAACGCCGTTAAACAAAGGATTTATGTCAGCACCATTACATAAATTTCAGCGCGGCAAATATTTCCCTCGTAAATTAGCAGGTATACCATTGGATATTTATGGATGAAGATCTGGAAGATCGCATCTACGGTCGCGAGCAGACTGCCATATTCTTTGGTTTGTACCGAGACAAGGTATTTCTCTTGCTCTCTCTTTTTTTTTTCTTTCGCACCAAGCAAGAAGAAGGAGCTGCGTCCTTGAATTCAATAGACGGAAATGGCATTCTGATAATACATTGTAATTCACTTCCGAATTCCTCGAGCTCGTCTCAAGATTATTCAAGATCATTGCCAGTGTCTAGACCCACCACGTGCTGGGTGGTCTGCCCAGCCAGGACTAACGCAACATTACGCATACGAGGATCGAACTACGTACTCGAACAGCACTCGAACGTACCGGATCGAAATCGTTACGGAACACGTCGAGCTGACATGCACCACACGTGCACTAGCATAGGCCTTTACCTTCACAGAGTCTCGCACCCACGTATGAATTCTTAAAGATTCGATCCTCCTCGAAGACATCACTCGCCAACTGGCGATCTGCTAGCCGCACACGAGCCAGGTACGTGCACAGTTATACGTGAAGATAGAACCATAAGACACGTTATAGTTGGTACTGTTGGTACGGTTGGAAACAGGATGTCGTAGCTCGGTTCGACCAGTGAAATAATTTCTAGAAGTTTTAAGGGACGAATTGCATAAGCGTGCACGTCGGGAAAACTTATGTGTCGCCAAGCGAGGTACCGTATGGTTCTTATAACGTCGATATCGTACCTGAAGTCAGCAATGAATCGACAGTGTCGTTACTTTGAATACTTTGGCGCGTAATTCAAAATCTTTTATTTCAATTGCATAAACGCCCACGTACGCAAAAACTTGGATGCTTGCAACTTCTCTCGTGGCTATGGTAGATAAGTTCCAAGATCAGCATCTCTCCCTGACTTACTCGAGTGCGATGCGTGTCCGAGTTAAACGCTGTACCAGTCTCCAGCTTCCCAGTTCCTCTGGGACGTTTCAATCTTCCACGATGAGAGGGCCAAATTGCACTGTTACCAGTCCTATTTCGCTACACGACGTTATTATGCAGTCTGTTGTGTCTAGTCCCTAAGCCAGCCATTCGACCGTGCTCTTGCAATGGGGCAGTGGGCGTAAGCGAGACGAATTCATGAGGGAGGAATAAAGAGAAAAAAAAATGATAATAACGCCTCGACAAAGATCCGATTCGGCATGTTCCTCTATCTTTTGAGCCTGAGATGCCTTCCGTCGCGACGTCTGTGAAAACTGGGATCGATTGTTTTTTGATGCGCGTGACGAAACGACCCTCCGGAAATGCATTATTGCGTGCAGCTTCTCTGAATGAAACCTGAAAAATAGACGGGCCCTTGGCGTGTGCCGGGTCAATGAACTCCTTCGTCAAAAAACTTTGAAATTTCATGAAAATTTAAGAAAATAATAATAACTTTATTTAATGACAATTCTATTTTTTCATTAACCCTTACTGCGTAGCGTCCACATAAACATCACATTAAACCTGCTACCTATCTCTCAGATTGTCACTGCATCTCCACTCTCATAATAAATAGTGTAATCTAGAAATATATAATTTTTTTATATCTAAAAAAATTAATTTGTCATAAAATCAAGGTTGTAATTTTATGTAATTTTTTATTTGCTTGACACAATCGGTAAACACTGCCGTCTTAACTCTCAGTTTTTAAAGTACCCGTCTGTCAGACCTAAGGTATGAAGTAAAAGTTAAATTGGCTAGGTATCAAACTTCGACGTTATTGCTTACGTGTATTCCTATACATATGATTGTGAGATTTAATCTTGCCACGTTGACTGACAAAATATATACAGCTGTTTCCTTTTTACTAATGGTCTTTCTTCCTTTTTACAACGTATACTCGTTTCTACTGTATTTCTTCTATTAGAACAGATCCAAAGATAGCACGACTATTGTCCTCATCAGGGACGTCCTGTATGCGCAGACTCGATCACGCCGCGACTCGTGATTTGAACTTGGTTAAACAGGTTCCTGCTATAGATAGCTGATGAATTTTCTGCAAAAGCGAGTCACTGCATTAATTAACCTTGCTACGCGGCAAAGTATCTTAAGTAAGCGGAGCACTCGGTAATTGCCATGCGACTCTTGACGCCCCGTAGTGCTTGTTAACTTCGCAACACGTTTCGGCGAATCTGCTTAAATCTTGGTGAGAAAAAGAAGGTGTAAGAAAAACATCACGAGATACGTAATTCGGGCACTCTTACTTCCTAGAAGAGAGAGAGCAACGAGATTGGCTATATAGTCGTTAACCATACAATAGTATAATAAAGCTAACCTAACCTACAATTTTACTTCTTTTACTTCACCCATCTAATTTAATCACCTGCATAACAAAGGACCAAACATGGAAATCCCAAGAAGCGTTTACTCGATTGACAACTGTATTCGCACGGACAACGCCGTTTCGACTCTGAATAAAAGATGCGCAGACTCCATGGAGCGTAACACGGAGCAATGATATGTTCAGGATGTAGCATGTGGCATCCGAAAGGCTCAAAACGTTGCGCGATGTTATATTCATCTCGAAGCGGGATCGACTGAATTTTATTTTTAACCAAGATCGACCAATCTACGTAGACTTCTTTGCATCCAGCCATTTAATAGCAGCACGTGTATCTTAGAGGAGCTAAAACACGCTTAATGCCGTCTCTCGTCTACCACAGAATTAGAAAATTGCCGAGCGTGATGGCTACAGTCATATATAACGCTACAGTCCACCGGCACATATTATCCAAGGCGCATATGTGGTCCACGGAAGCTTCTTCGTGTCCTCTTCCTTTTCTTCTGTCCCATCTACTCAGTCAGGAAGAACTCTCGATTGAGCGATACCGATCTACCCGATTTTTCAATGGGATCCTGGAGCTTGATTACGTGCGGCAGTTGGTCACTCGTAAAATGATCCCTGCACCACCAATTTAAAAGTCCCGCTAAGGCAGGCTGGTCAGGGAATTTCTGACCGGAGCAAAAACTACGATTCGCCTGTCTCAGATGCTGCTGGACCAAGCATCGTCATTGGGTTCTTCCTGAGACGCGTAGAAAGGGGCCACCTATCTATATACGGTTCTACACACGAGCCGACAAAATTACTTTTCGATTGACGCTGCCGATCACTCGTTGCATCCTTTTTTTCTATATATGTGTCTCTTTCTATAAGCCCTTATAAAACCCAACAAAAGGCACGGCCAAATGCACCGCAGCGCTGCGCATGCGCGACGTGCGCCGCTCAAATGTGCTCGTAAATCATAAGACGGGCGGACGTGATGTCTCTTGGTAAGGAGAGCAAACTCGCCAAGATACAAAGCCAGATTGAATATCGTGATCGGACGGATAACGTTAGGACCAAGGGAGCTTTCTTTATCTTTTATCTTTCTTTTTTTCCATTTTCTGCACGTATAAATAGCTAACGTTGCTCTTTTTCATGTTAATGGTCATCGTTACGGATTCTACTGCATATATCCTAGCAAAAAAGCGTATTAGTTCTTTTGGGCCAGTTTCTAGGTCACGTAGCTATCGCGGAAGCTCAAGTCCGTCAAGCCACCTAGAGCATAGCTGCTCTCAAATAATTTAAAGCTTGGTTTATTTAAGTTACCCGATCTTCTGTTGGCACGAGAATTCGTCAGTCACGAGAGTAGTCACTCGTCCAAAACTCAGTGCCAAATACCTGACTAGAAAGATTCGCAAATTTAGCGAATTCTATGAAACGCATTGTATATACAAGTCTATATGCCCAACTCCATACATAAGTATGGTTGATCATTTAGGACGTAAAATTATCCTTTGTCGTTAACCGGCATACTTACAATTATTAGTAGAAGTAATTCTATTTTGAAGTTTTCTTCTTATTTAATCGCATTCCGATGTACGTAAAGTTGGCGACTAGCCAAGTAATGGATGTCTGGCTGAGGTACCTATCAACAAATAAATTATTTGTTTCTTAATACGCTCTATGATGTATACGTATAGAGTAATAGTGAACCTCATACGTCACGCGTGAATATTCTAATGGGAAAATACAAATCTCACTCGAGCTCAAGATCTCTTGAGAAACTTTCACTGCTAAAAGCGCGATAGAAATGTTCGACGGGTAGCAGAATAAAAATAAACATCGATCTTACAACGAAAACTATTTTTTATTGTTATATCCGTATCCTGTGTTTCAGCACGATGACGATTTAAGTAAAGCTGTGAAATTGACTATGAGGGAAAGACGGTTTATCAAATTCGCCTCTGTGGAGTACGACGGACAACTTTACATGACACCCCAGGATTTTCTAGACAGCGTAGTGGAGTCTGTACCAAGACGTGAGTAATCAGAAATGTTAAATACGAGTGAAGGAGATAAAAATAATAATAAGTCAAGAGCTGATTTCTCGGTAAGGATTCTCGAAATTTTTAACATTCTCGTATGTCTACCAAATACTCACGGTTCTGAATTCACTTGGTAGTAACGAGCTTGCGTTACAAATATTCACTAGAAACGCGTGCCTTTCGTTTCTCACTCTACGGAGCTTCTCGTTATATTATTCTTTTGATGTGATTTCTCACCCAACCTTAAATGCCAAGAATCATCTCCGATCCAATTGTGTTATTTCAATAAATATCTAAACCGTATTCCAAAAAAGCCACATGTCTCTCCGTCTGTCCTTCAGCAAGGCTCAAGAGACGCATCCTATCGGATCAGGAACTGGAAGTAATGAAAAATGCAACGCCGTCTCTTCGCCAAGGGAATACACACATGTTCCGGAATTTGCGAGACAAAGGTAAAACTCGTTACTTCCATAAAGTCCTACGTTCTCCAATGTTCCTATTGACATCGGCTTGATCCTTACTATAGCCATATACATATACAAAGATACAGTTGAGCATCCTGCAGAAAACAAGTGACACGATCCCAAAAGAAGGATCAAAGATAAATATAGAGATTCCCGTATCGATCGATCGAGAGTCGCCAGGTAGCCATAGAATATATATATATATATATATGTATATATAGACACGTACATATTACGTATGCATCCGTTGCATATCCTGGAATCCTCAGTTACATTTGAACGAAGAAAAAGCCTACTAACGAGGAGTCTCGCGACTTCATTGAATTTCGCATGGATTTCGATCGCACCAGAGGATAAGGTACCGCAATGCCAATATACGAGTTTCTTCTTAGGCAATATTAAATAAGCGGAATTAAATATTGCACCTTGGCCATTTATTTGTCAATCTGATTCGCACGTCGGCATTCGCCTATATCTCTGCCAGGCGAACACACGTGGAACTGCAAGTCCGTATCATTAGTCAGGTCGTGTAATAAGGACCGCGTCGGGCTCGTGTGGACTTTTTCGCAGTCGCGGCTGTTTGTCGCGCTAATGGAAATGCAAATAATGACAGGGCCAGTTTCGCACCTTCACTCTTTAATAACGAGCTTCGCTCTCGACATCCCTCCCGACCCGTCACACGTGCTGCAGTTTCTTTTAAGGATCGTGCGTGCATGCGTGGGAATTCCAATGGTAGATAAACGAGCTAACTTTGTGCGAGGGGTCAGACACACGCCCCCCTCCACCCCCGGAGAACCGCTCTGCGATATACAGTCTGCTCGCAATATTCCAACGTTGGAGCTTGAAGCGCTGTGACACACCGAGTAGCCCGATGAATTTAAAAGATATTCACGAGCCTTTTCGCACGCGATACCACCATTCGTTATGACGGCTGTATTTCGTACTGGCTCCGGTACCGGGTCTTCTCAATAAACGAGAAACCGAGCACGGTTACGTGGCTCGTTAATTATTTCCGCTTAGATATAGATACGTTTCGAAACAAAGAATTTTTATTCGTATACACACCACCCCCGCTTGGCATGTCTTTTAAGATTGCCACGACGTGGGGCTGCTTTATGAATGGATAGGGAAAAAAAAAAATCCCTTCGACACCAAAGGGAAAGCTCTTCCGTCACGGTCTTTATTCACGGCTTTCCTTAGGCTGTAACGGTATTTATTTATGGGGTGGTTACGATCCGTTAAAGAGACTTTATATTATATACGCTCTTCAACTACGTAGGAGGGTGCCGTAAGGGACTATATTTAAATCTGACGTTCCTTGCGATTACCATTAAATTCTAAATTATTGATATCTCATTCCCTAGGGTGAGGTCTTTCTAGGGGGTAGACACTCGGAACCATATAGTCCGTGAGAAATTTCACAGATAATGACTACTGACTTTTATCAACTTCGTTAACGTCCTTCTTTCTTTTTTTATACGTCTAACTGTAATCCACCTTAACTTGCTCCCCTTGATGTCTTCCTCGGAAAATCAAGGAGACGCATTGACTTTTTCTTTGCTTCACGGGAAACCAGTCGCCTCGATTCTTGATAAATATCCAAAAAATGTTGACCTTCTCAAATTCCTCGAGTACAGGTTTCCTGTTTTGCGGCGTCAGTATCTAGGACGGACATTTACAAATGGGAGATTCCATTGAACACGCAATGGGCGGGAAAGTGATTGATTTCTTGGAGAGTGCGGACGTTTTAAAAAGTCCAAACCGATCCGTAACGTTGAACTCATCGCTACGATTCTGACCACACTTGGTTCCAACGAGCTCCGAGGCCACCCTGACCGTAACTCTTAATGACAAGTAATTTTTCAGCATCAATTAGTTGGCCAGTTGAACACGTTTAATGAGACCCTTGTAATTCTATCTGTGAGTATCGAAAAGACGTTACCGAGAATGCCGAACAACATAGCCGTACGTAGGCCTTGAATTACTGTGTACGGTAGGTACGTGAGTCTCTGGTTACCGTAGGTAGACACGTGTACAACCTTACACGTGGGTCTGCAAAGTCTCAGTTACAACCATCGTACAAGAATTATTTGTGAAAGTTTACTATTTTACATTTGAATTATCAGTAGGTATTACATTGGAGAACGCCGGGTATATAGAACTTTCACGATAAACATAAGATACGACCACGTTACTTGTTCTTTTTTAAAAATTTACTTAATACCCTTTATATCCCTGTAAAACGTACCGTTACAATTATCGATAACATACCTATACCATTGTTACCTTAAGAGGCTATCGATAGAACATTGAACCTTTCTTTTTTTCTCGCAGTCACCCAAAGTATCTTCTTTCAGGAATAATTTCTTACACGGAGTATCTCTTCCTCCTGTCGATTCTCACAAGTAAGTCCACTGATAATCCTCCGTCCTATAATCCGATTGATAAGTTACTTTCTTAGACACAAATCCTATGTGCTCCGCTTACGTTTTCTCACGGCTACGTAAATCTAGGGTGGGATCCGTTCGAGCACTGTCCCAGTGCATACTTTACTACTCTGCTCTGGGTCTTTTGACATTACGGTTTACAGGCACGAGACTAGTGCGCACTGTATTTATTATGGCGGGCAACTAAATTTCTTACAGACACCGTCAGATGCTAGTACGATATATATATATATACGCTTTTCGTACATGGATGTAAACACGTGACAGCTATACGCGTAGAGTAAATGAAAAAAGGAAGCACATAGAATCATTAAGTTAAAAGTCATGTGGGATCCGAAACTTCTTTAATTAGTTCCTGTAAATATTCTAAATCCTTTTAATGTACAGGATCCAGGTTGAATTCAGAGATAAACTTAACGGACATGTTTCAGAACCACAAACAGGGTTCAGAATCGCCTTTAACATGTTCGACACGGATGGAAACGAACGCGTGGACAAGACCGAGTTTCTTGTGGTAAGATTACATTAATAAAAGTGTCCAAAATATTTGTCACGTGTTCTTAGACACGAGCGCATGAAACGTGCGGGACTACCTTCGATAAATACGGCATACGAAAATTTTATGAAAACGTAAATACTTAATCTGTATTGCATGCGCTTTGAAATTATTATTTTATATCTCGATCGAAATGTAATGTCTCTTACCTTCTCTCCTCCCCTACCTTTCTATTCCTCTCTCCATAGTGTATCCACTGAATTTTAGCGTCCTTCGAAGAAGACGGTTATCCTCTTCATATGAATGTCGTTATCGTTTCGCATGCCATTTCCACAGATTCGACGACTGCTGGGCGGTAGTCTGAAGGAACGTGAACTCGATGAAGCCACTAAGCGTGCCGTGAGTTTTCGCAACTCTTGATTTTGAGGTTAAAACCTCCGAACCACTCTTCTTCTATCTAACTTCTGCATACACCAATCAATACTCGCTCTTGCTTGCAGGCGTAAACTGTCTTCGCATATGACGGCCTCTACGCCTAATCTCTAACCAAAGGCTGATCTTGTGCCGTGTGCGTTCGACACGTCGTCGACCGTGCTCACTAATCGTCCCCATTATTCGCTTACTTCGATCGTTTTGCCAAGGTGCGATTTAGTCGAGTTGCGATATCAGTCAGTTATATTATGTAGATTAATATTATATGATAATTAGAATTGCACCTGCCATAGATGGATAGATATATAAATATATGTAGATAAATAGATAGCCATGATCGAAGTAAGCTTCGAGGGTCTGCAGTGCTGTCTTGTAAATTAATTGATTTCTACATAGCTCGAGTAGCAAGTGCATTATTTATTTTTGCTTTAATACATTTACTTTTTTTTCCTCTCTCTACAAATATCATTTTCAGATTTTTGAGTCATTATGAAATTTCGCGAAACGTCTACGCGAATAGTTGATAGTACCACTTTAGAGTGTACGGAATGCGTGGGCATTTCGTATCGATTACAATAATTACTATTGTCGTAAAGTATTGTATTTTTTCTCTGTATTTTAACTTTTTAATGCCTTTCTTTTATTACCGTAACGTTACCGCCTTTCGACTGCGAATAGAATTTTTTTTTAATTTTGATTTCTGGATTCACTATTCTAACGTGACTTGTGTACGTGCACATATAGCTTTACATTATTTATATTAATCATTGAGTTGCATTCTGATTGTTTGATTTTGGCATTGTCAAAAAAAAAAAAAAAGAACGTTGCAGCCAAGGGAATTAATTTTCTTGTTTATTTCGAAATATTAGTTACGTTCCATACTTGCTCCAAGCGAAGAGGCTTTGGCCGCCAAGACAAAACTTCGTGAAGCCCAATTGTCCGAGACGAACGAAATCATCTCCAATTCCTACGTAAGTTTGCACCGATTGCCGTGTATTAGGAAGAACTGTCAGTTACAATTAATGAGCAAGTAAATAATTACACTGCGCACACAACGTAAAGATTAATTATCTGACCCAAAATCAGTATAGAAATTCACGCGACCTATTATAATTTATCATGCTCGTGATTAAATTTCAATAAATAATTAAACGCAGCTGTCAATATATACACATATAAAAGATTATCGTACACGATTATATCAATTATATACTGATTATACATCTTTCCCGTTTCACGTTACACGCACTAATGTTTCCATCTTACCAAAAGGTACAAAATATACTTGACGGATTTATAGATCTCCGGCCAAGGATTTATACGGTGCAAGAATCAACGGCCATGTCGTCTTCGATTATCAAGAATTTTCGATCGTGTAACCACCTTGCGAATCTGCTGTCGTTTCAACGTGAATAAGATGCATCGTTAATTATTGTCATCCATATCGGAGAAGGCCATCGCAATGCACTGGATGTACTAACCTAACCTAACCGTATAGCCATATTAACATCATCATTTATTTCAGACGCATCGATGTTGGATACTGTATTCATTGTCGTCATTGCTCACTGTATCGCACTATTTGCATAATTATTACTGCGCAATCTATTCGCGGCATTTCTTCTAAGAATCAAGCCAATAGCCATCTAACCATGTGTGTGTGTGTGTGTGTGTCTGTGATTTAGATGGAGAAAATTTTTAGTCACGCATGGAGGGACCGTCACGGCGTCGAGAAGACCAACGAAGAAACGGTGAGGCTAAATGAGCGAGAAAAAAGCCCAGAGGAAGTCCAAACACAGTTCATCGACGATGATCAAGTAATTTATGCAGAACCGTTATATTCGTTAATTCAAACGCTTTTATTTAAATTGAAAATTAATCGTTCTTACTTGATTTATGTACCCGCAGGGTCTGCAACGACGTCACGCGGTCGACACAACCCTTATGGTACACTTCTTTGGCAAGGACGGTTCCGATGAGCTGAAGTACGATGGTTTTCGGCAGTTCATGGAAAATCTACAGCACGAGGTCCTCGAATTGGAATTTCATGAATTCAGCAAAGGACACGACACCATCTCCGAAATGGACTTTGCCAAGATCCTTTTGAGATACACGTATCTGGATACCGAGGAGTGGGTTACATTTTCACTTGAGATAGGAAATATCGTATAATGCCATTGCGACATTGGCTAGTTGATGTTTTTAATTTTTTACCTGATATGGCTTCTCAGGTACGACAAGTACTTGGACAGACTCCTAGCTCGCTCGGAGCAACAGACCTGCATTACCTTCAACGAATTCCGTGTATTCTATCAGTTCCTGAATAGTCTCGATGATTTTGCGATAGCAATGAGAATGTACACTCTTGCGGATCATCCGATATCCAAAGGTACGGTTGTTAGACATTTTCATTGGATAAATTTCAAATTCATCTTTTGATATATCTAGGAGGACTTTGAGATTGCATTAAAAAAGGCCTGATAATATTGACTCGTTATAGAGTCAGGTATACAGATAGATTATTCGTATTCAGTATATTGTGACGTACGCAAGACTCTTTACGGACTGTCGAGTAAAGGTGTCAAGCGTATCGCCATAAATGACTGATCACTTTGGCTAATTAATAAATAAGTTGATCGCCTTGGAGCTAAAATGAAAATAAAAATTTCGACAGACTATATTAACCTCTTGTCAATATTTTTTGATGTCTTGTTACCAAATACCAGTTATGGTTAAGCTACTTTATTTCACGGATTATAATTTTAAAAAGATACGTTTGTCTTTATGATTTCAATATTGTTTTCAGATGAATTTTTGCGAGCTGTTAAGATATGCACTGGGACTAATTTATCGAGTCACATCATAGACACTGTTTTTGCGATATTTGATGTCGACGGCGATGGCCAGTTATCTTACAAAGAATTTATTGCAATCATGAAGGACAGACTCCACAGAGGTTTTAAGGTAACGACTCCATTTGTCATCTTTTAAATTTCAATAATACCGTTGCAACGTTGCTGTGTAGGCAGTTGCGGTTAGTCAGGCGCAATTCATATGCGCCTGTTTAATACTTTATACAGTGGTTCGTGATTCTCTGTATAAGGCGTTGCTACTGTCCAGGTGCATGTTTCATACACGGGGAAAGAAAGGTTTCAATTTTGGGCGCAAAATGCCCGAAATGAGAGTGTGGAAGCCCCGAATTAAATGATAGTGTGAAGACACAAAGATTATGGGAGTAACCCACATAGCGATGAACATTAATAGTCATACTTAATAAACTAAATTAGTATATTTCTAGGTCGTTATTTTTTAAATGCAAAAAATATATTTCATATTAGTATTTTTTTTCTTCTGTTCTAATTGGACGTTAATAAGTGGTATTTTATTATTTTTCTTTTTAGTCTCAACCAAGAAGCGAAGGCTGGGAGGCCTTCAAATTCTGCGTGAAACAAGAGATGAAGGCACCATGAATTAATTAATACGACTGAACTCAGCCGTGGCACCAAGAATCACAACTAACATACTTAAATACGTTAACAAAAATCTTCTTAGCTCCTTTGAGCCATTATACTACATAAAATCTATAACGTTTTTATGCGCTCACAGTTTTCTCGCAGCATCATGGAATTACAATCAAAACTTGTGATGATAACGTTTAGTGTGATAGTGAACAAACTTTAACTAGAATTAAAAACTAGTCGCATTAAATATGAAAGTAACTAAGTGAGATAATTACAACTTTCTACAAATTTACCTATGAACATCAACTTGACCAAGACGTCTCAAAGTACTTGCAAAAGTAGAGAATTACGATTGCGCCTTACTTAAGTAATTTATTACTACTATTGTAATTATTGTATAAAAATATGATTGAAAGTTAAGAATGATGCTTCATTAGCATTGTAAAGCGATAAAATTCTAATATATTAATTGTTGGATTCACAAGTCATTTTCTTTCTATAATTAATTAATTATAACCTTAAGTTGAAGTTGTAAATGTTAATTCGAAAAACTAACCCTTCGCAGACAAACTCCTACGCAGAGTACCACTGGCCTAGTGTTATCTTGTTGGTTGAAATTGTATCATGTAATTACTGTTTCTTATCATTCATTGCGTTGATTACTGTCTGCCAGTTTCACAAAGGACGCCGCTGAAAAAAAGTCAAAGCATCTTACAAATCAACGTTGCATTCTATGATACTTTTAAAATAGCTTTAAACAATTCCTGGTTCCTGGACCGATAAGAAATTGCGAAATTGCTTTCCGGGAGCTTATATTCCATATATTATATAGACTGAAATTACTACCTACCGTCTGAAACATGGTAGTTAAGAAATGACACGTTACTTCTGCGAGGTAATCGAGCGCTTGAAAAGAAAGTGTTCCTGTATCCGTTAGAAATGCACGGAAACTCTTGACGGGTTGAATAATAAATGGCAACCTGATAAACGGGAAATTCTACAGCGAAAGGAAACCACGGACCTTGTATGAAAATCCTAACGGCGTAAAGGCAGTTTAAAATAGTGCGCCTATTAAAAGTAAATATGAGAAAAACCACAAATAAATAAGCCGACTTCTCGCAACAGAACACAAAGTGCTGAGCGTTCGAATAGAATAAGAAAAAAGCATTTGTTGACTAGTAGCCAGGACTTCAAAGGGTAGTAATGACCAGTTTCTTGTCAAGAAACGTCATACAAGTCAGTTAGTAGCTGACGAAAGCGGATTTAAAAATGAATCGATTAATCCACGTGCAATTATACTGTCCCAAATGATTAGCAATCAATGCATCGTAATGACTTAGTGAATTAAATTTCCTATTAGTTTTTGTCAACAGTGTGATAATGTAAATGTCGACGAGCAGTTTTGTCAATTGTCTAAAATTTGTGTCAATTTTATCCATATTTATTCAATTCAACCTAAAATCATTCGATCAATTTCTACATTATTTTAATTAATCACATTTTAATTTACGCCAAACGTTTCAATGAACACTTCACGCTCGACTGAACAGTTTTGAACCAGGTAAAAAAATCTGCTAATTTAGATTTCTATTTTCTTGTTGAACTGAATTTTAACTATCTTTATGAGCAATCAACCGTTCAGTTCTCTGCATGATATTTTTATTTAAATTGAAATAAAGAAACGTAAGACACTGAAGACATTTTTTACTAAAATTTCAAGAAAATGCCGTACCCACACCAAGGGGGCCATAATAATACCGCAGCGCAGAGTGGGGACCGTCCGCTTGGTCGAATGGCACAAATGGGGGGTCGAGCCATCACGAGGAATCGTACTGGTACCATTTCAACCCGTGAAAGAGGAACGTACGTTCGAGGACTGCACATAAATATTTTAACGTTACCGGCACTTGTCCTTAAGTTCTACTACCTACGAGTTGTTCACCGCTGTGCTTCATGTATAATGGGAATGTTTAAGTGGCTCAAAAAGTAAGTGACGCGTTACTTTACTTTTCTTTGTCAAAATTACCCACTGAATGTCCATCGAAAATTTGTCACATATTTGTACACATTCCTTTCACACAAACGAGGTACAATCGACATGGCACACTACTGACGAAATTCGTGTTGATCGCTTGTTGACAGAGAAGAGATTTTAACAAAAAAAACCAGTGCTGTGTAATGACCTTTTATTCGAAACAGAAATCATCATTCTAAAAAGCTATGAATATCTTGTATATTTAATTTCATGCATTCTAATCAGTTTGAAAAGTTTGGCTTAAATTTTTGCCTAGTACACTTGTTCGGTATCAATAACTATTTTTTATTAATGCTATAATTTAATACATTAGTGAAAAACGCTAGTAATACGTTTATTTGAATTTCCACGGCTTATACATTACAATGCTCTATATAATATCTCGTGACAATATCAATAGGTCGTTAGTTGTAGAAATTCACTACTGCAAATTATCACACAACTGGCTTCTGTATCCATCCACTCTCTTAGAGAGAAAGATATAATCTAAGCGAGTTCTAGCATTATAATTACATAACTAATTAACTAGATAGCTCAATGATAATTGCAACAGCAGGATGAAAAATTGGCTTTATCTGACCTCTCGTGTATTCATACGCTATTTTAACTATATTTCCAATGACACTGTGAAGGAGAGAAATTGCTAAGAATTTCCGGACATGCCTTGTGCAATCGCACAAATAAATGTATTTGCATAAGTCTAAAGATGTGTAAGACCATTACAATGCTTTAAAATTACTATCAAAGTTAGGTTTGTAATACGGATATAATACGGATAAACTTCTCATAACGTATATGACATAGCTGTATCGTCCCCTTTGAGTTATCAGTCATACCATAAGTGAAGGTCACTGTCGTTCACAGTTCAAAGCCAATCAGATTCAAGAGGTAGAATAAAATCAAAAACAGAAAATGACGAACCCGTCCATTCCTCTGAAATATCATTGCTTCCAATCAAATGATTAACGTATACAAAATAGGCGAATCTAGGACAAAGGTTAAATTACTAGTTATTTTATTACCAGTATATTGATTACTTTAAGTACCGTTCATCCATGATAATTATTGGTACTCGTAAATTTTTCCTAGTTCCAAGGAAAATTCCTTTCGGTTTCTATAGTAGACTTTAATAATACCCATGGTCATTACAGAGCAAGGTAGTCTACAGACTCTTCTACAGTACAAAGGAAACCGTTAAGGCTGGTCTTACCTGGGAACAACAAGAATTATAATCGAGAAAAAAAATAGCTGTGAAATGTTTCAGGGGTTAAACTACGAACAGAAAAAAAAAACGTAAAACCTGATTTTCATTATATAGCAAGGAGTGACCTTAATGCAGTGATTAATTAGTAATTGTCATAAGGTGGAACAATAGCGACTATAGTTACCGTGATGCAGCTATACCCATTCCGGTAGAAGACCTTTGACAGAGCTATGATGGATTCTACAGTCCATTGTCTTTTAGGTGACAGGAGGGAACTCTGCTGCATCATTATCCTTAAAAACATAGAAATCGCCGAAATTAAGTCGCTCTCACTCTTCGAACTTTCCTCTGGCGTTTCCATTACGATTCCGTCACTAATATCCACTCTTTGAATGGTCGTTTCGTATACTCGATTTCTCACTTGAATTATATTCACGTTACACTACTGATGAGTACGATATGAAAACATTTCTAACTGTACGCAATAACTCTGAATGAAAATTGTGACCACGAAACGGAAGGTGGAACGTGTAGGCTGACCTGTTTTGGTATCGGTCCAAGGAAGATTTCTATGGAATACTAATGCTTCTTGATACTATTCATATTATCATTACCAACGCAGCCTGTGATAATGCTCATTATACACGCAGAAACAGTCTTGTGTTAACATTGACATTAGAATTGTAAATAACTGTTTGATATCGGTAGGCAAGAGGCTCTCCTGAGGGGTGTCTTCGAGAGCGAAATATATATGTATTTTACCAGTGGAAAAGTGTAATGAAAAAAAAAAAGAAGGAAGCACTCAGCAAGTCAGGGTGGCCGCTTTGTTTCGCTAAGGAAACGCATCTGATCTACTTATCTTAATTAAACAAAAGTCACTCGGACGAAATTAGCCACGGTACACTGTACGGTATATACCTTTTACGAGTTGCTGATCTTCTGGGACACGTGGAAATAAAAGTCTACGCTGACTTTGCTGAGCACGTGGGGAGGAGTAGGTTGAGGTGTTTTAATTACATGACAATAAGCTAATCAATGCTAATTGAACCAAGGGACCAGGAACGGAAACCAGTTGGCGTAACTATAACTTTTAACGAGCTGTTAGGAGTCGGAAGCGAAGTAAAATTTATTTTTTTTTTTTTTAACGAATCTTACCATCTCTAGATATGTCCGAGAACTAATTCCATGGTGTATAATGCCGCCAGATGAATACAGACGATAGAATTGGTATTTGGGTGTCGATAGAAAATATTCTAGTCTGGTTGACAGGGACGCGCAACGTCAGAGAAAGTGCATCAGATCTGCGGGGAAAAGTAAAGCTTGAGAATTAATCGTGATCGAGATAGTTACAATGATTGGCTGGAGATTATGATGATCGATGTACGCGCTGCAAAGAGTATTTTAGTGAACTTGATCCTTCGTCGCTTTTAATCAATTTAAAAGCAAACTCTTTGATCTTTTTGCTGATTCGATAACGTTATTAGATTATAGATGAAGCATTTCAAAAACAACGGGGCCTTCCTTCTTGTAATGATCGCGGTTGGCCATTCGGATGATTCGGAACGCCGTCACGGCTCTTGCTTCTCTAACGGCGGTGCTGGAATATTCGGAACGATAATTACGAATTAGTACTTTTACTTTGGCATTTGCCAGTACTTTGCCTTTGGTCTAACCGTTCTTAAGCATCGTCCCACGAAACTCGAACAAAGATTACTGAACGTTCACAGGAGCGATATTTCTATTTGTTTTCTGGATACGCTTGATGATCGTGGGAAATGACACTGTACCGTGTTATTTTTCTGTAACGACTCAGAGAACCGTTTTCAGTACCGATAATGATCAATATAGGTATTTTGAATACGATACTCACTAGGGTAACGAATTATCCTCTAACTTGCGGTTACTTTCAAATACAATTGAGGAATACGTGCTTATTATCTGTACGCAAAAAGAAACGAAGTGACGTTTATTTCATTTCCTCTATAGATTCGACAGATACAAAAAATAAATAAATCAAATTAATAGTGAATTTTAAAAAGTCGATTGAACAGTATGCTTTAATTTATTTTGTCAATAAAAATTATTTTTAAAACGATTATTGGCCATTACAAGAACTATCTGTAATCTAAGACGTGAAATTTTAGTCATGAATGATCTTTAATGATTGGAAATACTATCCATACCTGTAAAAAGATTTGAATCACTGACACAAATAAAGTTAATAAGTCGTCCAGTTCAAGATTATGATAAGCAAAATAATTATCGTATATTCAATATATGATGATTTAACACCTTGTAATTTCTCACAGACATAATCGTGCATAACGTAAGAAAATTACCTGATTTTCAATGAAACAAGTGTTACTTGCTGTGAATCTAATCGCGTTAACTGATCCGCTAAGCTGTGCACTAATTGCATAACTATTCCGTGCAATTAGATCACGCACCTAACCGCGGCTAAAGAGATTGCACGCGTGAAACAATGACTTATGACAGCAGGCCACGTTGCACGCTTTCTAATCACGTTAATTCTAATTTATTACGAAGCATCAGGGAATCCTCGGGTCTAGATTGACTGCTGGGACTTCTTGATTTCTTTCTTTAAATAACCGATGAATTGACGTTTCCCTAGTAAAATTGAATTTTCATGAGACGGTTCATGGATCACTAAGTTAGTACATTTTCATATCAGTATTCATTACGAATGTCTTATACTATTATTGATAAGCATATGCCTACCAATGTATTTATCGTAGACGAGTTTTTGCTAAATGAATTTTCCATTTATAATATTGCAATCCATCCTTGTTTAATTACCGTGCTGTATGCCAATTTAAATATTTGTAATGCCGCTATTTCGTGCATTCGTTTCTGAGATCATTTTATGATAGTATCACGATGTGACATCATCGCGTACTCCTTTCGCATTACGATGAAGTCACTGTGAATTTTGCAAATAAATGTTCATTTGTTATAAGCTACAAAAGGGAAACGTATGCCATTAATATATGCGTAACATTATTTATACTTGCAACCACTAAAAACATTTTACTTCCTGACAATCTAAGTGTTAATTTTGCATAAAGAAATAAACATCCATTTATTCGCTATTTATAATCCTTTCAATTCCGAGGGTGAATGTACATTCCATATATGTACCTGCAATAACGTCATCGTCATACAGGAAGTTCGCACGAGGGAACAGCATGAAGAATAATACACTAGTGTGGCATAAAGTAATGCTTAATGCGCTCAGAAAAATAACACACTGTACGTACCTGGGATGTGCACCGTGCGAAAACCTAGGGACTCAGTGCTATGGTGCAACCAGGAATAAAAAATCTTGAAATCAAAAGACCAAAACAGTAACTGTAAAAGAAATAGTAAAATTAAAACAATTCATATAATACAGATTGATTAAGATTAATCAGAAGAGTATGAAAAATACATAATCGACGCAAGGGCACTATTAATGTGAATAGCGTATTCTTACAATAGTTTTAACAACTTTTTAACGTCAGATTTACAAGTCCATCCACTTTGCGAAGGTCTTCCAACTTCATAATAAAACATATGCGCACGTAAATGATAAGTAAATGCCGGGTACACTAGTTCGTTGGCACGGGACGAGCTTACGTCAATAACAGTGGTTCCCAAATTGCCCAAAAGAGAGAAAACTACAAATCAAAAAAATACTTACAATTATATTATATGTAAACTTTCATTAATAGCGATGCATCGTAATTCATTTCGGAAGCCTCTGATGTATTCTTGCAGTGAATCGCGAGACCGTATAGCCAGCCACTATATTTTTACAAATGTCATAATTATTTCTCAATGTAATGAATCAAGGACGCAAATAGTTAAAACAATTTTTATAACACTGTCACGGAATTGAAGCATCCGTTTGTAACAGGGAATTCATTAGAAACGTTTCCCCCACAGTGGTCACATGTTCCTATACATAGGACATTGGGACAGATACACATTTTTTGCGTACTGAGAACCTTTCTTAGGACGATTCGCTACCTGCATGACATCATACTCTAACAAAATACACAGTGAACGAGCAGCTATAGTCTATCCGCCACTGAATGGCTCAGTGCGAGCGAATATCTTCCGACATTAAGATTGAAACGTTATATGACGGGAAATGATTAAACGACCATATAAAAGTGCAATAGTATAATGAGGGAATCGATTCTATTTTACAGAGATATTGTGCTACGGGACCGAAATCGGCGGAACTTACCACCGGAGAACAATGATCTCAATAAGTAAGTCAGAATACGTGAAACTTCGCTGCTAACAAGGTGCTGGAATGCTTGAACAGTAAAAAAATTAATCAATTGACTGTTGACAATATAAAAATAAATTACATTCTTTCTTACATACTCTTAATTTTATTACCGAAAAATTTACTACTCTAAATATTCTAAATTACATTTGGTTTTAGGAAATCAACTTTGCTCTAAGTACTAGAATCGATTTAAAAATTGGTACAAATACTTCCGTTGCTCAACCGCATGCGCCAGCGCTAGTCAATAGTAGAAGCGCGTCGCACAACTGAATACGCACTGTGATAATTATCGCATGATTTAGAGTCCCGTAACATCTTCGGCAAGTACAACAAATAAACAAAGCTGTAAATTTCGGACGATGGACTTTCACGCGAAGAAGTTTAACAATACAAGGTATAACGAAAGGTGTTAGAAAAATATTATCGCGGTTGACAATGCCATAACCTCATTGAAGCTTCGCGTGACGCCGGGTAAAATTTGTGACGCTTTGCGTGATTAACACTGGTGACAGTTTTAGTATGAAAGGAAACAATCGCAATCTCTTTTCTTGTCAAATAAAATAATCTAGTGTCTTTACGGAATACTCGCGCTCGTTACGCCATTTCTCTTAGGATAATTTCTGACTTCTTGCTTTTTATTAAAAGTCACTCGTTGTAATTGTACTCAGACGCTAGAATTGATCACTGTATCAAATTGTGAGAAGTGTCGTTAGTTTTATAACAGTATTTTATCACATTTATTGTGACAGTTATCTTCAGTGTACTGTGTTAACGACTAAGCGGTATTACCGACAATGCGCTCCTACAGTCGATGGATAAATGTTCGAACAAGGTAATGATAAAGTAGTCGTGTGTGATTGAATGGATAATTATAACGTAGGGTACACTTAGGCACAATGTAGATTCTGCATTTCAATCGATTCATTTATAACTTTTAATTAGAGAACCGCTATGTTCATGTATTGACATGTTTATCTTTGGCTACTTTAAAGTGGCTTTCAGTACTGAATATCTATAGCTATTCAAGATTCCCCCCATCTTCACGGATGGTGGGCTTACTGTATCACTTTGCAAGGAGACACGTGGATTTATCGAGCTTATGCATTCCAATATACATATGTATATTGCGAAGGGATATCTGTGATTCACACAGAATGTAGCACAGATTCAAAAGTTTCGATTACTGTTATTGATGTAACAATGGTTATAAATGAAATTGACATTTTTGATAATCGTTTTTTCTTATACCATTACGACATCGATATCGACAGCACTTTGCGATATCTTTAACGTTTTTCGGCTTGACAATTTCTAAATGGAGTTCGATTTTATTTTACTTTGTTTTATGCAATTGATTGCGCATTGAAAATACAATAAAAATTTGTAGATGTAACTTTCAAATAGATGAATATCTTTTTTAATTGTTCTTTGAACAGCATCTTGGACTTACAAGTTTATTATCGGCACAACTTTACAGTAAATCAGTATCATGCTTTATATAAATTATTTTACCAGGTGTATGTTTATGATAATTTTTGTTTCAGTGAGGCATATCGCAATGCTCTGCAAGCATTTATAGATCGTCGACGAAATCCTAATGAACCGGGAGGTATAACTTTGGATAGCCCAGAAAAGACAAGACTTGACATTTTCATAAAGAATACAAATAACACAAACAACGACAAAAAAGATGACAATATTACTATTCCTGGGGTTCCGCATATCCCAGCACCAGAAGTCTTCGAAATCGGATGGGTGGCAGGTACTGAAGATCGTTACCTGGAGCTAATATTCGCCGAATGGCAAAATACCAGAGTTTCCCTCAAAAGACATACTCATCCTGAATGTCAAAATGCTATTAAAGCGGATTTGAAAGTCCTTACGTGAGTATTTCCACTTTTAAAATATTTAGCAAAAAAATAAATCATCTATTCATTACAGAGAAATACGTCATCCAAATATTCTACTGCTGATGGCCACAACCCAAACCGATGATCACGGTCTCGTCACTATCTTCGAACCTGTAGATTGTACTCTGTACAATTATATCCACGAACAAGGCGAACGCATTTCCGTACAAAGTGTAGCAAAATGCAGCGGAAAACTTGCGGATGCATTGAGGCACGCTCATATGCGAGGATACATTCACGGCGCCCTGAGTTCCCATTGTGTTTATTTGGCTTCTGGCGGAAATGTCAAACTCGGTGGATGGGAGTTATCTGTTACCGAGGATAACGTAAGCTACTTCAATATTTTTATGTTATTCATTGATACAATCGATGTTTGTACAATAGTTTATGTACTCGTTAAAATTTTCTAAAGACTTATTAGCATAATTGAAAAATTCGAGATGACTGCACCTTGTCAAATCTAGGATGACCTAAAGATCTTCCCAGGTTCAAATCTCCACTATTTCTTTGTCTACATTTTATCATAGTTCACACATAGCATTCCTTAGAAATGGTACCAATAGATAGCCTTTCTAACGGCTTCCACCGTTAAACGTTTAGGAAGATTCACTTCACGCAGGTCTGCGTTTCCCAGAACGTGGCACAAGCCGTGTCGTGACTTCTGATTGCCAGAGAAAGTTTCGCGCTGTCAAGGGTTACATCTATAAAGGTGCTCGTGTTAAAGCGAAAGTGATCCAAGCGTTCACAATGAACTATAACGTCCAGGACGTCGAAAAGGGAACGGTATTTATATCGCGTGGGCAGAGATTGAATTCTATATGTAGTTGTGCGTTGAAAACTTTAAGATTTTACTTAGAAATTCTTATAATTATTGTATTCACGTTTGCCGTAAAAAATCGGGTGACTTGAAATGCTTTCCAATTAATTGGGTCAAACAGTCGTAATGCCACGGGCGCGAAAATCAAGATCGCATTAACAATCCCATAACTCTTTCGGGACATTGTCTTCATAACAGTTTCTCCATAGGTCCTTTTCTTTTCTCCGGCGTGTAATAACGTAAAGAAAAAGAAACAAAAAATTTTCATAGACCACGCAATATGTGAAACTGTTAATAAGTAATCCTTTGTTATCGATAACCAACGGGTAGTTTACCAGCTTTTATTGTTTGTTACGTGAAAATAATATTTCTTGTGATATTTTTCACCTCACTTTTTCCATTCTGTTTCGACACTTTTTGCAGGTGACCAAACTCCCATATAATAAGCGTATAATTAATGAATCTCGATTGACGTCCAAAAATGAGTTTTAATATTTCTGAAAAACGTGATTTCTAAGAAATTTTTTAATATGTTAATTTTCAATTATCCACATCCTTAACAAGTAAATAAATTGCAATCGTTGCATTAAAAAGAAACGAGATTTCACTGTCCGCAACTATTTATTAGTAAATTATCGGATATTCAAGCTTTCCAACTCGGTGTATCTTAAGCCTTGATTTTGACTTGTCCCTCGCAAGCTTGATACATTTCACTGTCTCTTTATTGTCTCTTTGCCGTTGACCCAAAAATTGTTCACAACTAACGGCGAACATTACTCATCCGCTTTAAAGTACCCGAAAACCGAACGTGACTCGCGGTTGTTTCCTCGTAATTGTTGGCTTGACGACGAAAAAAGAGAGAGAAAAAAGTTGTTTCCGTTATAACCGAAACCTATACACATACCGAATTTTCATGGTTGACGAAACATACGTAAAGGAATAATGTCCAACATGTACAAACGTTATCTTGTCGCTCTCGATTGAATGCTGCTTTTTCAATTTCTTAATAAACAGCAATACGTACATGACTTTCAACCAGTAACAAGAAAAAGAAAGGCAAGACTGCGTAAACTATCAAGAACTATTTATTCAGTGATTTCACAGGATGATTTTATCATGCCGTATCACAGCTATTGAAGTCAACAGACTTTTCTTAAAACGTGGAATTTCCGAGGGCCTGTGTAGAAAGTAAATCCTTATATAAGACGCCAGTGTTCTTGTCGTAGCGAATTGCTCATACAAGATGTAAATGAACTTTGAAAGTCTATAAGGTAGTTTAATTGTACTCCTCAGCAACTTCGCGTATGACAGCCTAAATGATACATTTTATCTACGAACCAAGAAATATGTTATATGATTCTTATGTCTTATTATATATATCGCATGATTTAAGCAGCACCGGTTCCTCATCGTTGTAATTGAAAACGGGTTCGGTGCAAGTGACCCGTCAATGTTCGAAACCGTTATTTAAGTGATTTTTGTGTATACGTAATGCTGGGAGCATAGCATTCCAAAAGGCAGGAAATTGCCTACAGAACTGGCTTTGTTCGCATTGTCTCCGACTCTGGCCTCTCCTGAATAACTGTTTGGTCTTGTAATGCAAACGATGCAAATTGGCACGGATACGGGTGTGGCTTCTATGAAACATAAATAAATGATCGAATTATTCTAAAATCCGTCATAATTATATCTGACCTAATTAAAATGTATACATAGATTGTTCGAACTTTAATCATTTTTCTATATGTAATTTGTGCAGTCGAGACCTGACCGCGAATATGAAAGTCGCCTAAGAGCTGAGATCTTCAGATGGCAGGCGCCTGAACTATTTCGTGGACATGCACCGTCCAAACAAAGCGATGTTTACGGACTAGCATTATTAATCTGGGAAATGTGTACTAGTAAGTAGCCAAAGGATGCATGTTTAAGCTCTGAACATTATATACCATACAAAGGGTTTGGTAGGCTCAATTAAATTGAACGTGTGTTGTTGATGTCCAGTGCGTATGCCATGGAACGGTTTCAGCGAACCGGACGTCAAGCGGCAGTTTGTACATTGGGACCGTGGAGTAATGACAGATTTTTATAAATTTCCGCCATTACTTAATAATCTATTAGAAGCGGGTCTCCAAGTGGATGTTACCAAGAGAACCCTTGACATGAATCGAATGCGAAGATTTTTGCAGAGGCTAGAGGTGAGATTTGATTTTTTATCTAATTATACATTCTTTGTGTATACAATTATTTACATAAAGAACAATTTCAGTTGCAATATGAGGCTGAAGATGCTATGTACATCGACCATTGCACGAACAATAACAACAGCAACAATCAACGATTAAAAGGACAAAATGGGCCCGTTTCGGGGTCGAGTACCACGAATGTATCATCGAGTGCCAAATACACTGAAGCTGACACGCCTAAGACTTCAAGGATCAGAAAGCAGCGCAACCCCGAGAAAATCATGAGTAATCGGCTTAGAGACCCGGCGTCAAACAAAAAATTACATCTAGGCCGAGTAAATCTATTTCTTGACGTAAGAAATGTTCGTGGTACTGAACAAGGTCATAAGATCACTAATATGTTCGCGGAAGCGCAGAAAAACAATAACGAGGTGAACACTCCAAAAGGGAATCTGAATGTTGTCAGTGACCTGCAGAGAAATAATGATAGCGACGATGTTCGAGGATGGAGTTTCACTGAGACAATTGAAGCCGATGGCAAGAATGTCAATGAAACGTATAGTATTGTCGGCTGTGACAGTAGCTCTTCTGTGGCTTCGACTTTTACAGGCGCAATCAACTCTGCTGAGGAGGATGCGCAATCCGCTTTGAAAAAATTAAAGGAATCTTTGGCTAGCAAGAGAGAAAATTTCTTTTATGGAAACAATGCGTCGCAGATATCAATTCCTGAGACTATCAGTATGTATTATTTGGATATTCAAAATAATCAAAATAATAAAAAACAGCGTACTTTGTTGATATTTGTACTCACTTTTCAATGTATTAGGCCCTACAATGAGAATTAAGATCCTAGAGGAGGCAAAAAATAAGGATTGCGAACCACACAAACCTGCCAGTCATAAGACAAGCTTTGAACTTAAAATGAACAAATCGCCAACCACGATCGAATCAATTTTAACCAAACCAGCCAGTCATAAAAATCAAAAAGTAATTCAAACAAATTATTTGGAGCTTGAGCAAAACGAATTTACTCTTGTGAATGCATTTATAATTTTTAAACATTTTTTAATACAGTCACCTTACTCGTCCATCCCGAGAGTCATCAAGGAATCTATCTTCCAACCTCAGACACTGAATACCGATTCTCAAAGTTTCTTTGAATCATCTTTATGGCGGAAAGAAAAATTAATCTGTTTATCCAAGATGAGTCCAAGTCCACCTCATGACAATGGCAGTCGAGTAAGGAAAAATAATATTAACTCCTAGCATATATCTTTCACACTACTTCTGTATCTCTGATGCAGACTTTCCTTATGCAATAAGATTTAATAATATTTGCAGTTCTTGTTCTTCACACAGAATCCCACTGGCATGGATAACAATAAAACAAATAAACAATTAGAATGCCCTAAGAACACCGAGAGATACACGATCAACAGCACAACAACTGGACAAACAGCTAATGAAACTCAAATCCTTAATGGTAATTCTACATTGGCATATGATGATCTTATGAACAAAGTTTCTTTAGAATATTCGAACTCTAAAGATGAATCAATACGAACCTTGAAGAATGCTCTGAATCGAGCAACGAATATTGTCTCTTCAGAAACCTCGAACCCTGAAGATACTAGTTCATTTTCACCCACAAAGACCTTAAACGGTTCAGAAATTACTTTGGAAGATATTAAAGCGCGCGAAGCCATGTTCGAAGATATGTACAGATTGACATTTGATAATACAAGTAGCGATATTAGAAGTATCGAAAGAGAAACCGAAGATAATAGAATCTTCATGTCTATCACAAAACCATCGTCTCTTGAAGACTATTCAAGTGGATCTTCCAAGGATGAGGATGGCAATCAGAATTTCTTATCAGACAAGGAGACGGCACAATGCGGATCTTATGAACATTCGAATACTAACTTTGTATGTGAATCAATTGCTGAGACTTCTTTAGAGGACGACAGCTCAGCCCGCAATGAGGAACGACCTAATGCTTACTCTGGAGAATCCGATAATACTGTAACAATAAGAAGAACTTCACTTCCGCAAATGGTTAATAGTAGAGATGATAGAACTGAATCGAGTACAAACGAACCGTCCGTACACGAGTCAAATTACACCTTTTTGTTTATTACTGACAAAACGCGTGAAAATGCATGTCAGTCTTGTAACAATAAAAATGCTCTGACACGTAGACGATCCCTGCCAGCTGGCTTAGGACATCTCAAAACAATGAACAGTAACAATTCTCTGGGAAAGCTTCCCATCCGTAAGGTGGTAAGTTAAAATGTCTTTCCATTTTATCCCTTAATAGTGCTTTGAAATATTCGTCACTGCTTTGCATCGCATCCATTCAATTGACTTTATTCGCTTTGCTTTGGTATTAAAATTATGATTTAATCATTGAAGTTCTGCACCATTAACTTCAAATGCTCATCCGTAGTATTGAATATTTTACTATTATATATAATTTTCTTTACAGTAAAAACACAAAATTGTAATGCAATTCAAATGAAATTGATGATGCCAATGACTTAAACTGACACGAAATTCTATTTGCCTTGCATGTTTTTCTATTATTTTATCGTATTCTTCTTTTTGTACAGGTACTACCGTGCTATAACTGTTACACTGAAAGGCAGAACAAGAAAAAAGGACAGTAATTTTCTGTATTGTATAATACAGGAAACATTAAGCCATTTGCACTGTAGAAAAGAGATATGTTTATTCATGTAAAGCAGTTTTACGTGCCAATGACTTTAACTTTCTAATTAATTGAAATTAGAAACTTCTTAAGTAGAAAAAAAACTAAAATATTAAAAAAATTAAAGATATTCAAAATTGGGAAAAATACTCATTCTTTGTATTTTCTTGTTCTACCTTGAGTAGTGGCTTAGCACCAGGAATAAATGAATCAGGGGCGCTTCGCACAAGAAAATACTTGCTTAATCCACAAGGGAATTAGAAAACCAAAGCAGATGATTTCTTTTTCCCCTTGTTATAGGATGTACCTCATAATCCTTCGGATGATATATACTTTGATGATGATTTTGGTGATAAATTGAGTGTCAACATGGTGCTTATGGATGACGAAGTACGACGTGATGATGATTTCCTACCCGAGATACTAAATTTATCAAACCCATGTGTGTATACGTAATTATATTTCACGTGAATAATTGACAAAATTTTATTTATATTAAATAACGATACTATAATTTCTAGTATCGAGGCAACTTAAATTCGCTATCGAGACAGTTAAAAAAATTCTTTTTATAAACTAATCAGGCATTCGAAAGCCTACAATATAAATGTTTAAAAAAGCGTGATTTCTTTATTGAGTGACTTATACGCAATATCTTGTTGTCTTTTTTAATTTTGTATCATTTATATAATTAATTCTAAAGTAGAGAGTAGTACTATCTAAAGTGAACGTGTCATCAAAATTAACTTAACGTGAAGGGTGCTCTTTTTATGGTTCCTTATTAATATAACAATGCTCTCCGCGAAAATAAATGTGATAATCCAATACTCTATTATAGTCCACCACAACGCGATAAAAAATATATGATAAAAAATTATCATCAAAGCAAGTTTTATTTTCAAAGGACCGGACAATTTAGTAAATCAAGGTATCTTTTGTTCCTAAGATGCCAAAGAGCAACGTGACCAAAAAAAAACATTCTGCAATTACAGCCGTAAACAGTATTTACGTTATGTCTATATGAATAAAAATAAATACGTTATTAATGTTAGATTTAGAATATGTTACTAGAATCATTGTATTAATGTCTCTATCAAAAATAAATGAATTTCATGTTGGACATTAACTATAATGTAATACTAGAATAAAATCCCATTATCAAATTAATTAACTTCTTTGTATAAGTGCACAAAATCTTATTTATTTACAATCAATTTAATCACTTATAAAGTAGGATTTTAAATAACTTACAGTGTTCGCTAATATAATTCTTTAGACAAGTCTGATTTTTGTTCATTCTTCGGTTGCTTAAAGTTGTCCTAGATATATATCAACTTCTTTGTATCAATTATAGTACACAGATTCACTAATTAGCCAAAAACATATATGTAATTCAAATAACTTAAATTCATAAGTGCGATTATTTCCACGATTGCTGCCAGTTATGTTAATGTTCTCATTGTGAGATAAAACCATGCTATTATTTTTATTCAACTTTTTGCAAATCTATCCGATTCACATGATGCGTTGGAGCATTCCACAAATCATATCTGATACCAAAGAACGTAAAATATTAAAAGAATATATTTCAAAAGTAGATAAAATTAATGTATAATTTTTAATAATTCCTAGTATGCGCTCTTCATACCAGTTGATCTAGTATCTGAATATAAGACACTCTTCCTTAATTTGTTTCTGTTACAATATTATTATTAGGCAACATAAGACACCATTGAACAATCTGATTTTTAGCAAACTAGGTCTTTTCTCTCAAAGCTACTTAGATAGCCAGCCCAAAGACTGAAACTATGCAATACATTGTTTTGTTTTCCCAGCGAACGGTGCAACTTCCATCGGTAGCATTGTCCCAAAAGCAAGAGCTAGCTGTATGAAGGCCTGCTCCATTCTTTTGCATAATTGTACAAGTTACTGAAAATAGAAATAATAAATTATATTAAATTCCAAAGAGAAATGAGATTACTGAATATGCTTATGTAATTTTAAGTATGAGAAAAATAACTTTTTTCTAAAATATTAGTTAGGCACATGTCATCCATATTTTGTAAGATTCAAATATGCAAATACACTTTTGCAGGAATGATGCCTCTGAATATCAATGAGCTTAAGTAAGGAGTGGCCACATTATGAATATAGGTCAATGGTCTTATATTTTGGAATTATATAGAAGAATCATGCCAATTTACACAGGATGTGAACAAAACTATTAGGCAATCAATTTAAATTCTTACCTATGTATTTATAAGGCTTCTGTAATTTAGTAAGATTTCCCAAACAACCTTCCACAACATGTGATGTCCACTGATTTACTTTGCTATGTTGATATGCATTACCCCCAATAGATACCTCGATGGCTTCCTTGATGATTTTGCTCACATCGTCCACTACAAATTGAGTCTGAAACATGAAATGAAATATTTTTTTTCTACAGGATTATTCAGTTTGAAGCCACCCGCTATCAAAATCTTATTTATCGTTTTAGCATACAAATAAAATGAACAAGCTAACTTTAATTGATATATTTGATCCAAGTAATCCTGTATACTTAATTCTCTTGATGTTATAATTTGTTATCATGATTAGACAGATTTTTGTTAGATCCGTATAATCTAATATTATGCATTTTCAATATAATTATACTAAAAAAGGGTATAAGTCAAGGTTGATATTTTATACTGATTTACACGATAATAACACACATATGCACTTTGTTCCACTCTCTAGTAATAAAGGTATTTTCATTTATTCCATAAAAAGCTTTAAAATTTCCAGTTCATGACAGTTTCTCAAACAAAAATATAATAGCAGAATATTGATCCAAAGGACCTATTACTGAAATTAATATATCTTTACTATAATTTTAAGGAAATAATCACAATTAATGATAAATTTTATATTAAATTCAGTATGTGACGTTCAAACAAATCAGTAAGATAACTTCAAAATATTAAAATAAATGTAAATGTTACATTACCTCTTCCTGCATATCCTCCATCGTGAAGAATGTACGATAGATATAAATAATTCGTGTACCAATTAAATGATGTACCTTTTAAGTTAATGAAATATTGCCTGACAATTTGTTGCAAGAGGTAATCGTACCAATTCGTACAGAAGAATTACTTTACTTACACCTTGAAAAAGATACAAATGAATTTTCGGAACAACGAGTAACAAAACTGAAACTTTAGAATAGATTAATGTTCCTAAGTATACTTTACTTTATAAAGAACATACGATTTGTCTGGAAAATTGAATAATATCGTTCGGAGAAAAACGGACAGTACACGGCACTTTGACGGATTGTAAAATCGACGCACGATGATACACGATCTTTTACGAAAACAGGCGACAACAGAGTGAACGGTTCGAACGCTTTTATTTAATTTTCACATATTATCATTAATTTAGACAAATAAATACGAATAGTGATCGAGTCTTGTTTTAACATATTTTATTAAAATTGTATTTCATAAGTCAAGATATGTATTACGAGGTTACACTATTTCATTTCAACTAATCGCCCTCGATCAACTATATTCAGAACTAAAATATAACCTTAATTTACAAAAGTAACATGTTCAGCCGAAAATCTAATATCATTTTGCGATGTACACCACTATGCATTAAGCATGGAAATGTGCAGTACGTTTTAAGAAAAAAGACATACAGTGATGAAGCTAAAACTAAGAAACTGAAAACATTACCACCCAAAAATTGGTTTAAACCACCACCTCCAAATCAAGGTTCAATGACTTCTTTATTTTTGGGAAATGCAGAACCTAATGTGGAATTAATCAAATGGGCGTCAACACCAATTAAATTTGGAATAAAGGATGTTAAAAATTGGTATAAAAAAACATCAGAAAAATTCGAGGATGAGCAACAACAATTCATTCAAGAAAGGCATGAAATTCTTGGTAGCAATTTAGCCATTGCTCATTTCATTGTACATCGGGGTGGCAAAATAATGCTACGAGGAGATACTGCGTGGATCCAGAAGGACGAAAATGATGTGGTTAAATTACCAAGACGCTTTGATCCAAAATATGTTGTTACAATGATAGATGCCAGTGGAATGAATCTTCGTTATAACGGATTAATGAATTTTTGTAATCTTGGCTCACTTAAATGGGTTAGTTTTAAAGGTTGCGAGCATTTGGATGACTGGTGCTTGGATAGAATTACTGCATTACTTACAACCGTAGAATATCTTGATATTTCTAATTGTAAAAAGATTACACATAGAGGATTAGTAGCAATCTACAAAATGCCTCACCTAAAAAAGTTATTAGTAACAAATTATGATATGTCAGATGAATTTGAATTAACATGTTTGATGTTAGAAGAATTGAATTCTAACTTGCAGTGTGAAATTCTTGAACCTCAAGATTCATCCACTTCCGATAGTAGTAAAATTGACAATTGAAAGATGTATTATGAAAATATTATTTAATAATAATTGTTACATATACAAAACAATGCAGTTCATTCATACTCTCACTCATGAATAAAAATCTATAATATTTAAATGATCATTTTCTTTTGACTTAACACACTGATATAGTTTAGAAAATAAGAAATGTATGAATAAAATCTATTTTTCAGAGTGTATTTATTGTATCTTATTCTTTTCCCTGTGTCTCTTAACATAATGCAGTTCCATCTTATTACTGAGTCCATATGCCTTTATATTTTCGCTATCATTAGTTAATTTAACATCTTGAAAACAAATGTGATATTTCTTCCAAATGTGTTTCCAGCTAATCTTTTTCTTCACATGCTCCCTCCTCAGTGCCAGATTCGTATGCCGTTTGATGGCCTTCTTCAAATCAAGGACTGTAGTATTGTGTGGGGGTACCTACATTATAAGTAAAAGGAACATTCAAAGGTCAATAATTAAGGACATTAGCACTGCCGAAAAATCAGTAATAATACGAATTCTTTCTGTATAAATCCAACGATACATAACTAATATGCGATGAAATAATAATTACCACAATAGCAAGTTTTGGCAGTTCTCCACGATTTAAATATAACGTTATTGCTTGACCCTGTGTAACCGCCGTTTGAGCCTTGATCTCTTCAACCGTAACATCTCGTGGTAATCCACATAATAATGGATCACTCTCGATGATTTTGTCAATAGCTTCCTTAGTCAATTTTACAAGTTCTTCGTGGCTAAATTCTACATTTTCCATATCGAGTTTTTCATCATTGGATCCAAGGCGCTGCTGCGCCTCATTTGCTTCGTTCATTCCTAAATATACCTAAAATTCCATCAATGTTTCATGTAGAGAAGGTGCTTATAGATAGCAATTCTAAAAATATCTTTATTTAACTAACCAAAGCACTAATATATATTCTAATAACTATTACACAAAAGCTTTGTTGATCGCCATTAATCACTTCAATGCTTGATCGAAATATTTAATCAAATTATAAAATGCCTATCAAACAAGTAGCTAAATTTAATGTTTCCCGGTTCTACAAGCTCGCGCGACCAATCTTATTTGAATGAGTCATACGTTGCAAAGCGATGAAGCAGTCGGCGTCGCGTCGTATATACAATAAATTCGCGAGAACCGCAATTATTTTGAGCATCATATATCCAGACACCTTGTAGAAAATAATACGAGGTTAAGCGGTGTAGAAGAAAATAATGGAGTACGGTTTTACAGTGGTTACCGATCACGAAGCTGTGTGGCTTCGTAGTGTAATTTCTGGTCGACGAGAGGGGAGTTTACACCTGTGTTCGTTTCCGAGTATGCATATATTGCGACGTACTACTATGTATACAGTTTATCGATGATCTTAGCTATCTTACTCATCGGTCATGAGTTCCTCCAGTTTTCGGCCGTGAACCCAAGCTGGTGGCCAACTTGGGTTGGCGCGCGATTGTCGCGGCTGTCGGCTGATGGCCTATGTCCGCTCAATTTCCTTTCGCCACGATGAAAATAAACTAGGCGCGCTCACAGACTATTTTACGCATTCATACGATATTGCTGCTTTCTGATTCTTCACTAGCAACATTTTATGCTATGAGATTTTATACTGGTCACAGCATACAGTCAAAATATATGTATACTTACTGCTGGGAATACCAGAAAGAAATAATGCGACAACTCTACTGCTGCTTGTTAAGATACTCTACTATAAGCGTCTAGCACGCTTTAATAAATCAAAATAAAAGATTATTCGAGTGGTGTCGCAGTAAAAAAAAAACATTCATTTTCTGATGCTGCTTACCTGAGGTATATAAAGTATACCGTTCAATTCGTAGGGTGAAAATCAAATGATGGATATGATTATCCATTAATGAAAGGTTATGTTTGCTGCATCATTTTTGCGAGGATAAATGGCGAGTACGTTGAGTACGTGATCGGCTGCTGATATAGACGAGGAACGTTACAGCGCTAGTGGTGATTTTGACAAGAAAGAAAAAACACAACTGGAATGATATTGCTTGTAATCGAAGCGTAATGGCGGAGAATGCTCGGATTGGCAGTAGAGTCGGTGGTCGCTACGGCTTGTTGGTCAGTGCGCCAGTACGTAAGCGTCTAGGTAAGCGAGCGCAGCCACCTAGCATACGATCACTTTGGGTTTGACAATACGCGCGTATTTCGCGGCCGTCAGCGGAGCCAAGCGAGACCTACCGAAGTTAACCGAAGTCTTGCAAGTTCCGTGTGTTGAGTGTTCGTTGGTGTACGGTTGGTGCGCCTCGGCTGGGCAAAATCGCGTAAAATGGAAACAGAATTTCGCTGCGAGGTGAAGGTTGGCCGTTGACGAGAAGTGAACATGGGAAGGTCCAAATTCCCCGGTAAGCCGCCAAAGACGGTCACCAGGAAACGAATCAAGGTGCTCGGTCGGCCTGAGCCAACCCAAAGCGATTCGGTAACCGTCGCCGAGAACATCTACTACGGACTTTCCCTGTTCAACGAAACATTTGGTGACAACGAAAAGGTAAATCGCACTTGCGTTGCGGCTCGCGCGTTTCGCGGACGCCCCGAGCATTTACGTGCTAGTCTGGCGTGACTTTTTCTCACTCGCTGGACAGTTTGTTTGTGTTTGCGGGCATCCGTGAGACGCATACGGCGCCGATTTGATTACAAGAAAAACTGAGATTTGGCTGTCTAACGAAGGTTAACCCGTTAGAACGGAGTTACAGTCTCGAAGTGGTAGATATGAGCTTTCTGTACTGACATATTTTAACTCCGCCAAATGTCAATGACTCGATGGAACCTTCTTTTTCTCTATTTCGAATTTATGCTTTTGAAGGATCATAACCTCTACGCCATCTACGCAATTTAGTATGACTAAATAGTAATAGACTTATAGTTTAGAGTCTGGATAGTCCGTCCTTTGACCTAAGATAGATACTGATATTTTTAACCTCTGTATCAAAAGAACTTATATTTACTTTCATTCAAAAAATATATACATGGAGGTAGCTCTTGGTTTGCATTCGATGAATGTAGTACTGGTTTTGGAGTAAGATAAATTTATAATTGTCTGCATGAGCAAATGTACTAAACTTAGGTGCTCTAGATTATAAATAAAATAATTGATGCATGATTGATGTTGACTATATTTTTTCTAAACACGTACATTGTATAAATGTGCAGTTATATGTACATGCATAGTCAAAATAATTAATTGGAAATTACATGTCTGAAGTTTTGTAATATTCATTCTCATTGTTGCCTTTTATGCAGTTTTTATACTCTGAAATTTTATATAAAGAGATTTACATTCTAAATGATTACAAGTTATGAACAATCTTTATTCAATATAACTGTGGGAATGTTTTACTCTTTTATATATAAATCATATAGTAGAAACTAATAACTATTAAATTTCAAAATAACATATGCATTCATAAAACAATGTATCAGAAGTATACTATTGTTTTTGTCTAATTGAAATTTTGCATGGTATTAATAGTTACTATTGTGTATACAATTTATTTATAGTACTTTGATTAAGTTTTGTAAATACAAACCCATAAAAGATTATACTTTTTCAGGAACATCCACCATTCCATGGTTTTAGCAGTAAAGAGGCTAAACTTTCTGTATCTTATGTAAAAACCCAGCAACGTGATACAGAGAATACTGTTGCTAATTTACCGCCATCTGCAAATAAAAATCAGCCTTCCAAGTGCAGTAGTAAAAAGGAGACTGCAAATATTAAAAATTCCTCATCTGATGCCGAGAACTTCAAGAGCAATCTCCACGATGAGACCAATTTGACAAAAATTGAAGCTACTAAAAAAAATGCAGCGATAATAAATCTTAAAGAGGCTACTAAAGGTTTTAGAGCTAGAGACAATAAACATACCAAGAGTGTAGGGACTTCGAATTTGGTAAAAACTCCAGTGTTAAAATCAGTGAACAATATATTAGATCGTCACCAACGGACTAGACAATTGCGAAACAGTACTGCAAAGAGATTACTTCAGAGGGCAAAATCGAATAACAGTAGTAATGCACGTAATGTTACAGTGCAATCTGGTGATAAATCTGGTGATAAATCTGGTGCTGTAAGAAAGTTTGTTTTGCCAGTACGTAGTGCGCATTCTTCAAGAGTAATAAAACCAAATAAAAGGTTTATTGAGGAACTAGAGCAGACTGTTGGCTTAGAACACAGTGAGAATGAAAATGGTAAGCATGCAAAAAAAGCGAAAATCGCTGCAGGAAAATTGGGCAGCCATGACGCGAAAGTCGAGGAAGAGAACACCAATCTGCTGACCATGAATTTGTCAGAAAAAGAAGCGAGAAAATCGAAAAAGCTCATTCAGAGTATGATACCGAATGTCGAAGGTCTAAGTCCAGGCGCTAATTGTATAGAAAAGTCAAATTCTGCTCATGGATCTACAATTGCACAAAGCGAATCAAAGAAATCGCAACATTTGTTAAATAAAGGTAAAGCGGCAAATAAAACGAGCCACAGTTCAAATTATGCAAATCGAGATGTCTCGCAAAAAGTTGCAACTTCGGTTGCCACGTCTCATAATACAAGCCACGGAAAACCCTTTATTCCCACAAACCACAAACAGATCCTTGTTCCTATAAAAGTTCTTCCGGATTCCAATGTTCCGATTTCCGAGTCTTCCAGAGTTCAAACAAGATCAGGAACTCTCGGCGAAGCATCCAGTTCTCTAAGTGTACAGAACAACGCTGAATCTCCTCCAGAATCTAACGAAGCGTTACGTAAACTGGATGAAAAACTACATGAAAGTACTACTGTCGAAGAAGTCATTGATGATAAAATTGACAAGACTAACGAACCTGTGAACACGTCGAACAATTTTGATAACTTCGATACGGAAAGCACGTTGTCTGAAAGTGGAAGTGAACACAGTGATCACACCGAGGATGAACAATCAGAATGGACGGGAATGAAATTAAATGGAGGTAAAGTTATTTTGAGAAAGGCAAGGTTGAAGCTGGACAACAAAAGCTTGGGAGGAACAGAAGGACCATTCTCAACAACTAATTCACACAATGGTTCCAGTGGAAATTCAAATCCGGGTAAGTTATACAGAATTCAATTGAATCATCTATTTATGCACCTAATAGGTGTAGTCAATTATGGATTACTACCATTTACAGTTTACATAAATTGTAATATAATTTTGTGATATCCTAGAATATAAATGCATTTTGTAGGATTAGCTGGCACCGTGAAATGTGGCGTCTGCGGGGCAGTACGCTTTTACCGATTTGTGAAGCAGGCACGCAAATTTGGTATACATAGCTGTGAATCCTGTAGGAAATTTATCAGTAAAATGATAAAGCGTCAAGCGTGTGCCAAGTCGACGAACAGTACTCTCCCGATTCTTCAGTGTCACAAAGGTGATGGCTTGTGTCTGGTGCCACCCGTTGTCAGAAGTCAACAGTGGAATCTCATGAGATGCGTGTACAAGGCGCGATGTCCAGCATGCTGGCTCAAGATGTGTTTAAAGTGTTACAATATGCCTTCGTCACTTAGAACAGGCTTGAATGCTCTGTTACCACCGCTAATGAGAGATCCCATAACGATTTCAATACCGCTAAGTCAAGAGGATAACGATGGACAGGGACAAAAACTGACTGGTTGTAAAATCGGTTGGCCTGCCGAAGATAGTTTAGAGCGAAACTTATTTAAGTCTGCCATAAGCTGGAGCGGTATTGATATAGGACAAAAACCAGGTTATCAGTCTACCGCCGTGGGTCTGCTAGGAAAAAAATTAGACAAATGTAGGAACATTAAATGTTTATCGATTTGATACTTTAAGTAGAATACTGTTGAAATCTATCAAAGTATAATATTGTTACCACTTTGCAGTCGACTACGCTATACCTATATCACCGAATAAGAAGAGAAAAAAAGATAATAGGATAAAGGTTCGCAAGAAACTGAAAAATCCTTCTGTCGTACCGTCACTTATTAATCAAGGCTCACAACTTGCTAGACAAAGAGTTGAGTTAAAGGGACCTCGTGTTAAACACGTCTGCAGAAGTGCCAGTGTAGCTCTTGGTCAACCAGTTGCGACTTTTCCTTCTATCGATGGGAAAGAGGATAATAGCGAACTTGGTAAGAACATTCCAAAAGCATCCAGGGAAGGGGAGAAGATAGATAAAAGAGATGAAAATGCGAAGGATAAAGAATTACCTAAAGGTACCTTAGCTAATCAGGAGGATAATACGAATATTGCTAATAGCACGATTCAGCAGACTTATCCAAAAAGGGGCAAGCTAGGCTCACAGCAAATAGTTTCAGCATCGAATGCCTCAATGGTAAAGAATCATTTAGAGCTGTTATTTTTTAATCATTTTATATAGTATAGGTCATTTATCATAATTAATCCTTTCACATTACTAGGCACGTTCTTTATCTAAGCCAAGCATGGAGAGTATTCATACGATATCAATAGATTTTTGGGAACAGTATGATCCTGCAGAGGTTGGGACCAAAGGCTTTGCATTGATTGGCTCTGAACTTTTTCACATTCCTGCTATTTGCTATCTATGTGGCAGTGCTGGAAAAGAACCGGTAAATTTACATTGAATCTATTCAATTGACATATATCATATGACATACACGAGATTGCAATTATGGTCCTTTTTTTCAGCTAATCCATTGTCAGTGCTGTTGTGAACCATATCATGCCTTTTGCTTGGAACCCAGCGAATGGAACGCTTGTGCTCAACCCAATTGGTGCTGTCCCCGCTGTACTATCTGTCAATCATGCCACCTTAGGTCTGGTCCGAAATTATCTTGTATTCGCTGTCGTCAATCGTTTCATCACTCGTGCTTGTCAAAGTCTGGCATTAGTGCGAGACTATACAGTCCTGATAGACCTTATGTGTGCCAGAGTTGCGTAAAGTGTAAGAGCTGTGGCAGTGAGGGTGTCAATGTTCATGTGGGGAATTTACCGCTGTGCTCCATGTGCTTTAAGCTAAGACAACAAGGAAACTACTGCCCCCTCTGTCAAAGATGTTACAATGAAAATGACTTCGACACTAAGGTAAGAATACGAAGAGTAGTATAACTGATAACTTTTTAACCAAAAATTTACAACGTTATTATAATTTTGTCTGTTGTAATCATTTATCTTACGTAGGTTTGGTATGGTATCATCTTTTTACAGATGATGGAGTGTAATGATTGCTCCTGCTGGGTACATGCTCGTTGCGAAGGATTGTCCGATGAACGATATCAGATTCTCAGTTATCTACCGGATTCAATAGAGTTCACCTGTCGCCAATGTTCCCCAAATCCAAATTCCCTTTGGAGGAACGCCATCGAGTCTGAGCTGAAAGCTGGTTTCATAGCGGTAATAAAGTCACTCAGTAAAAATCGTAAAGCCTGCGCAGCTTTAAAATGGAGCCCTCGTAAGGAGTGTCTCTGTAGGCCAATTACCAGTGTTAGGAAGTTGGATTTTTCTGATGAAAGGCTCGAAATTTGTGTTGCGAATAGTAAAGAAAATGGTAACCCCGAAGAGTCTGAGGATTACAATAGCGACAAATTTATTGACAACGAGTCTAACTTAAGCGTTAATTTGAAAACGGAACAATTGAGTAAGTCTGACCTCGAATTGGAAGAACAGCAAAACGATGGTCCAAGAAGAGGTTTAAGACGGCTCAGACAAAAGTTTCATCTAAAAGAGTGTTCTGTTAGGGTGAAAAATTGCATTCCTAAAGACAGTCATGACATCGAAGGGAAGGATACTCCCAATCAAGAATCTCTCAATGGAAACCTTACCGATAATTCTAAGGAGTGCCTTTGTTTAGAACAGCAAATCATCGCTCGGCCATCCCCAACGTTGATGTCAGTAAAACGAAAAGTGAACGGTAATGAATATGGTTCCCTGTCGCAATTTCACTGCGACATGGAGCACGTGATCAATCGAACCGGAAGTCAGGAACTGATAGAGGCTTACCATAAAACTTTACAAGAAGTTTTTCCTTGGTTCGACTCTAAACACTCTAAGATCAATTCAGGTGCTGGCGGAATGTCAACGCCAACCAAACAAACGTACAAAGACTTGGACACAACGATAACGAAGCTCGATGATTCAATTTTGGATACTTGGAAGGAGGAAGTTTTGAAGGCTCCTAAAGCTATCGCCGCTAAGACTGGAAATTTATACCACAACATACACGTCGAAGACAGTAGATCATGTTGTCTTTGTAAAGGGCTTGGTGATGGTCAGGAAACGAAGGAAGGTCGGCTCTTATATTGTGGACAAAATGAGTGGGTCCATTCGAATTGTGCCCTTTGGTCGAATGAGGTCTTCGAAGAAATTGATGGCTCCTTGCAAAACGTTCACAGTGCTATTTCAAGAGGTCGTTTGATTCGTTGCACTGAGTGTGGCAAGAAAGGTGCTAGTGTGGGATGCTGCTCAAAAAATTGCAGTAGTACCTTCCACTATCCGTGCGCGAGAACCATTGGACTAGCGTTCAATGACGACAAAACAGTATTTTGCTCCTTGCATTTAGCCAATTGCGTTCAGAAGACACCACATAGCGAGATTGATTTTGGTTTAAAGAGGCCGGTTTATGTTGAGCTGGATCGTAAGAAGAAAAAATATGCAGAACCTAAAAAAGCTAAAGTAATGATTGGATCTCTGACGATCGATTGCTTGGGTACGATCGTACCACAATTTTCAGACACTGTAGAAAAAATTATACCCAGCGATTATAAATGTACAAGACTTTATTGGTCCACGGTGAACCCATTAAAAATTGTACGTTATTATATACGAACGTACGTGCAAGTTTACGTGCCGGATGTTAGTCCCGATTTGGAAAACAACATTACTATCGATCATTCCAAAGAACGAGAAAGAGAAAATGAAATACTGGACCGTGAAAAGATAGAACAACTGGCTGTAAAACAAACTTTGGATGCGCTCATAGATTCTGTGTGTAATAAAGAAGTCGATGAAAACTTAGCGGAACAAAATAACACGGATCTTTTGCCGCCTGAATTGAAGGAAGCAATATTTGAGGATTTACCCCATGGTCTACTGGACGATATCTCTATACAGGATATCTTCCAGAAGACTACATATGAGGATTTCTTAGCTATGGATTTAAAAAATGATGCAAGTTTTAGCTCAGATCTTTTAAAGGATGACATACTAACGTCTGAAGTCGAAGAAATCATAAAGCTTCCTGAAAATAAAGTTGCGAAAATGGATCCATCTATGCCTGAACTAGGAGCGCAAAACGATTTTTGGTTACATCTAGAGACCAAAAGTTCTGTTCAGGATTTAATGGACGACTTGTTTAGTTCGAAAAATCAAAAACTTGGAGGTAGAGAATTAAAAAGATCAAAGTCTGAGGTAATATCCAATAGTTCTGTTATTCTCGGTGGCCAAAGGCACCATCAACGATCCTGCAGTTTAACTTGGAGTTGCAAATTAGATGGTACGTACGGACCTACGGTGAAAAGGAGAAAGTTACCAAGAAATTCACTCCCTACAAGAACTGCTGAAAATGTTATGATGATGGATTCGCAAAACGATCGCACGTCGATGCTTCACGAGCTAAGAATTCCAGAAAGTATTATGCTCACAGTAGGCAGGAGCAACACACCCGGCATTATTTCTGATTCTGTTCGTGAACTGAAATGTTGCATTGAAGATTCTAATGGCATTAATCGGCGTGCTATTCCTCCAAGAGACGATACCAAGGAACACAAGAGACTTTTATGGCACACAAGGCAACAACCAAGAATTTTACAAGTTGATGGACCTGCTGATCCAAGCAGCGCCAGCGAATGTAGCTCTCCAGAATACAACGCCGAAGAAAGACTGCCCGGCCTACGGAGGACAGAAGGTGCAACGATTCCCCAGTTAGACGGCGTAAGTGATGACAGCTTGTTTGACGCTAGTTCCAACACTGACATTAACCTTAAAGGAAATACTGACTCCAAATGCAAAAGGCCCAATAGCAAAGACTCTACGAATCCAACAACAAAGTACGTCTTCAAAATTCCCCAATTGGATGGAGCAGATGATATTTCAAGTGACGACGAGTGTATATCACCGGAACACATAGCCGATGAACGAATGATGTCCATCCCAAAATATACACCCATAATGGACCCCGCAGGTGGACCAGTTACATGCAAGAGATGTCAATGTACCTATAGAACTCAGGACAGCTATAATAGACACTTGGGAACATGCGATATCATGACAACGAGTGATAGTGATTCAGAAACCATGGATAATAAATTGGCATCACCTGACTCCAGGTTTTCACCAAGCATTGGTTCCATGTCGCCACAATTCATCACGATGTCACCATCAGAGGGGCATACACTTTCATCCGAATATTCGGATATTCAAGCCACATCACCTATAGAAGCTTCAGTTCCATCACCTCATCCTGGAATCCAGATTGAGCCAATAGCGCAGGCGATCATCACGCCGCAGATTCATACTCATGCTACCGTGGAAACTGTCCATCAAACAGTATTAACATCTAACGATATGATCGTACAAACGCAGTATACTAGGACAACCACAACGCTACCGAATGCTACAGTATTACCTCAAGAGAGTACAGTACAGATTACCGAAATAACTGATCCACCTTCAGTTTCAAGTGACTCCAGTATTAGTCAGAGCGTGATAAACATACCGTTAACATCCCCGGATAGTGCAAGTTCACAAACCATCCCCAGTCCGCAGATATCACCGACATTCTCATCTACAGGCGTTCAAACTATGATCAACGAGACATCTCAACCGAATATGCCATCAGTTAAAATCGCCAAGCCGAAATCGCCACGTGCTCCAAGACCAAAAGCCAAGGGTATCAAGCCGCACATTTTGCGTAACTCCATACAACCACATGGGGGACACGTGAGATTTCAGCCGATGCAAAACAACGCTCCTGTCATTCAAATTCATCAGGCTCAGAGGCCTCCTGGACCGACGGTCATCTTGCAGCAAGTTGCTTCTCCAAATATTATGTCAGCTTATGTAGAAACGTTACAACAGCAGTCTGGACAGAATTTACAGTATATTGCAACGATAGGGGGACAGCACGAGGCCGGTTTTAAACCTCAGTTCATAGCAGCCAATCAATTGGTGCCTGGGGCGTACATACAAGCATCGTCTGATAATCTTTTAACTCTGCAAAATGGAGGAATTTCAGTATTGCCAAGCGTGCAGATTGCCCAACCTCAACCAACTGTATTAGGCACTATCATCCAGCAGCAACCTAGTGCAATTCAATGCGGCGTAATTTCATCCGAGCAGCTAGTACTTAGCTCAACACCGGCACTCGAAATGTTTACGGATTCCACGGGCAGCATGTTCGTCTCGAGTCAGCCCATGTACTACGGACTTGAAACTATCGTGAGCAACACAGTCATGTCCTCCAGCCAGTTTATGGCAGGTGCAGTGCCGCAAGTATTAGCAAGTAGCTATCAAACAACAACTCAAGTATTCCAGGCTTCTAAACTCATGGAACCTATAGTTGACGTCCAGGCAGTACCGACAGTCCCCACTGTTCCTGGAGTCCCTGGAGTACCTGCAGTTCCTTCCGTACCCACAGTACCAAGTGTCCCTGCTGTTCAAGCAGTACAAGGAATGTCGGGAGTACATGGAAGCTATGTAGTGGTAAATCAGCCAACAGCCATAGCTGAACCAATGGCGCCGCGACAGATGAACGTTCCAGCATCACCCGAGCTGGAAGGCTATACTCCTGTCACATGCAATCACATGTCACCTGCTGCTGCACGTTGTCAGCCTACGGTAGATCAAGTGAGACCTATTCAAACTCCGAAGGCGCGTACAATGGACTCACGTGTTACTACAACAAGTAGAGTAACGTCATCGCCTAAACCGCTTCAGCCAATCGTACCGACAATTCCAAGAGTGGCTGTACGACCAAGTCCAGCGTCGCATTCTTTAATCCAACCACATCAAGGCCCGTGGAAAATCACAGAGCCGATTTTCGGGACTGAACAACCGATTAGTAACAGCGTGAGGCCGTACTTCGACTCGAAGCACGTGTCTGAGAACACGAGTATGATAAAGTCAAGCATATCATCAAAAATGCCCCCGTTGCCGAATCATTGCATAACGCAAAGAAATATTATTGTAAATAAATTGAATCACGATGTAAATAATGTGCATAATAGTTATAGTAACGCGCTATCGAATGCTAATAATATTAACGTAAGTGTAAACAATAGTAGCCCGATTTTGGTGAGCCCTAGCATCCCGAATAAAATTACGATGCCTACGAGTAACACTCCGACCAGTCGTCCGATGAATCGAGTTCTGCCGATGCAAGCGGTCACACCGAAACAAGAACTGACGAAGAGTGTTGAGAAACCGGAAATTGGCATCGAGGAACTGACCAAACCCCCGATCAAACTGGCGAAGCCAGAACTGGAGCAATCCGAGAAGCAAATAATTGATATAATAGAACCAGTGAAGAAATCTGATGTAAAAGAAAACGACGTGACACCCGACACTGTAAAATTAGATACAGAGTGTATAGACAAAGTTAAGGAAAATTTCAAGTTGGACTTGGACACGAAGAAATCGCAGAATAATACACCATTGAAACTTGTTCTGCAAAAGCAGCTACAAGATGGTTCTTACAAGATCACGCATAATATGAAGCCAGTCTCTCAAAATAAGAAGTCACCGCAGGTCACATCCGTTGAGATATTGCCGCCAAAGCAAGCGCCGCAAATAACTTCCTTGCAATTGTTGCCGATCAAAACGTTCACCCTGAAGACTAATAAAATCGAGGAGAAATCAAAGTCGACGGATAAAATAAATCTATTCAAGCCAAAGCCACCACCTGTTGCTGTTAAGCAGCCTAGGATCATAACCAAATCAATGAGACCTTCAAAGAGCGATCCACCGAGTCTTAGTGTACAAAAGAAATGTTTAACAGGTCCTAGTCTCATGTACGAGATCAAATCTCAGGATGGCTTCACGCACACAGCATCATCAATGTCTGAGGTTTGGGACAAAGTCTTTGAAGCTGTTCAGAATGCGCGCAAAGCCCTTAACTTGCCACCTTTGCCACACAATCCACTCACAGAGAATCTGGGATTGGAGAACAATGCCACGGTGTACCTAGTCGAGCAGTTGCCTGGTGTCAATAGATGCACCAAGTATAAACCCAAGTTTCACAATCCCACACCACCGAAACCCGGTGAAGTGGACAATGATTTACTGGCAGAATGCGACAGCGGTGCAGCACGTGCCGAATCGTTCAAGGAACGGAAAGTTCACGACATGTTCAGCTGGTTGGCTTCCAGGCACAGACAACAACCTAAGATGATTTCCATCTCAGAAACAGAATCCAGGTACGATTTCTCCTCTGACTTTCTTTTGCCCACTGTAACTTGGTCCTTTAACGTTAAGGCACTGATCATACTTTCGTTATTCCTTAGGAGAGCTGCTAGCACGAATTTACCTATGGCAATGAGATTTAGGATACTAAAGGAAACTTCCAAAGAATCAGTTGGCGTTTATCATTCACATATTCATGGAAGAGGTCTGTTTTGTCTGAGGGACATCGAGGCTGGTGAGATGGTCATCGAGTATGCTGGAGAGGTGAGTCAAAATAACGTGTCTCTCATGACAAGTAGATTGATAAAGCGGTATACTTTATTCATTATAATATCATTAAGTCAAACGAATATAAAAGTGATGGTGGTATTTGAATTATATCACGTTTTAATGATTTCAGGTTATTCGAGCCTCCTTGACAGACAAACGTGAAAAATATTATGACAGCAAAAACATTGGATGTTACATGTTCAAAATCGACGACCATCTAGTTGTCGATGCTACCATGAAAGGAAATGCAGCGAGATTTATTAATCACTCGTGCGAGGTAATTAACTTTAGCACTACTTTTTCGAAATATTCGCGTGTACGACTATATTATAACAGATGTTAAGCACGTTAGAGCATATAGTTAAAGCAAACAATTTTAAAGCCCTTTCATCATGCGATGCTTCTTCGTAAATTAACATATGACATTTCGCAAACGAGGCATTCGCAATTGTAAATTAATAATAGTTTCGATAACGCCACAAAGTATTCGATAACTAAAATTCCCTTATTGTGCTCTCTTATCCTAACAGAATTATATGTTCCAGCCAAATTGCTACTCCCGAGTGGTTGACATCCTAGGTAAGAAGCACATTTTAATCTTTGCCCTACGTCGCATCGTCCAAGGAGAAGAACTAACGTACGATTACAAATTTCCTTTCGAGGATATAAAGATTCCGTGTACCTGCGGCTCACGCAGGTGCCGTAAATACCTCAACTGAGACTGCGTATAAAATTATTGTGAACAACCGGCAGCCGGGAAAAACAATATAATATATTGTATATATATATATACACACACATATGTATCGATATATATCGCTTATTCAGGTCAAACACACCATCTGAAGTTCGCCCGTCCATTTGATTTCTATGGCAAAACCAACCATAGTTGATGTGTTTCGCCCGATTAACGAAGTATACATCCATATATATGTATATATATATATATATAGACATATACATTTACATATGCACATACTCATATACACATCCGCATACACACCATTCTTATAAATATAAATATATATATATACATATGTATATATTTATATATGCTATTATCACGTGCGCTTTGGAATAGGATTCATTTTATCGAACGTTATTGATTTTATCGTCAAACTATTTTCAGAGATCACAGCTTTTTATTATTACTATTAACGATGGAAGTAGCTATACATTAAAAATATTAGAAGGCCAGATATATGTAAAATGCGGCGTTATGACAATGTTACTTTAGACAGCTACGTCACGTAGTTGATTTAAGAACTATACTTATAGCAATAAACGATTCACTATGTGATGCTTTCGCGCTTCGAGAGTCGCCAGCACGACTCTTCGGGAACACTTTATTATACACACGCCTGTGCTTTGTTGCACGACTTTTAGATTTCTACACATTGTCCACTATCGAGGCTTATTCTTCGAGTTACATTACGCATTACACTAAATGTGGATTTCCATTAGAGTGACGGCACTTGAAGCTCTTCTCTCGAGGATATGACCCCTTCGGCATTCTGCGGTGCGTTATACCTTATTACAATCTTCTTCCTTGCTCTTCTTTGAACTTGCGTCGGACGCAAGTAGTCTTCCTTATCCTCGAAATTTGAGGCGACTGGGTCAATTTTAGGATACCAGATACTTGACGATTCGAATATTTAATTCGCGAATTCACGTCGTGCTATCGTCAGCCGTGAATTTCTTCTGTAAAGACAGTTTTTTTGGCCCACAGATCGTAACGTAAAGTAGGAAAATACGTGAAAGTAATGAAAATGTACAAAGTGACAAAATATCCAATAATGGACACAAAAATTGTAACGATATATTGCGATCGAATTGAGAAAAATCGATTTAAAAATTACATTGTTTAAATTTTCGATCTATGATTCGCGTTCAAAATTTTATTGACGTTATTGACTATCAATCCCCTTGATTTGCAAGAGATTACTTATTCCCTAATTTTGGCCAACGGGGCAGCTTGTGGAACCTTATTCCTTGAGGTACAACCACGAATACAAAAAATGAATTCTACATAATTTAATCTATCGTCCATACTCTCAAGCATGGATATCCTGCTTTTATTTTCGTACTTACCTTGTTTTTTGGTACATCCAGATTTAGTGTACAGTGTACCATTAACTTGAATGACTTTCCGTGTCTGCTATAGGGCGAGGTTTAAAAAAATTCTCTTGTAAAATATGTAGTTGTTAATCTAGGCATTGTCTCTCGATGTAAGTAAATAACCAGTTTAACCTAAGATAGGCACGTAGGCATTAAGGAGAGAGAGAATAGAGAATGGCAAGAATGGACAGTCCCACCCTGTGTGAGGACTGCCTCAAAGGTGTACCTACTTTGGCAGACATTGATAAAAATTTGGAGTCTATCGAACAAAGAACGAAGAACGTAGTGATACCGCCTTTATTATACATGTAAGACCTTACGAATAAGGCATTTATTTTCTCACGATTATCGTACGACCTTTTTTCGTACAGTGTAAAATCATTTTCAACGCGTACAAACGCGAGACCACGAATCGCACGTATTGGATTCGTTCCAATCGGATCAAAGTACTTTTTGCTTTCTTTTTTTTTTTTCTATCGGTTTTTTATCTGTCGCGACGTCAATGAGCTTCCGCGTTACCTGGAAGATATGTCGCGGGATTATACCTGTGAATTTGCTTTATTTCTCTTATTGTTAGTAGCAAATAAGATATCTGTACTGAACGATACATGCCACTTTAGATAAATGGTTCGATCGGTGAAGTGACGACGCGTTGATAGAAGAAAAAACGTGGAATAAAGGAAAATTTCATAGTAACGTCGCTGGAGTGATGGACGCGTGAAAAATTGAGACACGCGTTAGTCATTACTCGGGCGGTTTCGCGTGGCCTTTTTTTAAATATAATTTTCCCACGCGGAGAAATGGGGAAAGCGGAAAATGTGTGAATAACGATTTTTGGGAATTGAGATTTGTCGGATGTGTTAATGACAGATTATCGTCATACGATGTTCTCAATGGAGACGGAACTCGTGAAACACGTGTCGGCGATAGGTGTCGAGGAGCTACTTTGCCTTAAAAATATATTTGAGTATATATGTAAGCTTTAACCCGGTGATAGTTTTTAGGAACGTACTGACGGCTTCTTCGGCCATCGAAACATTAAGTGCCGTACTTTTTATCGTTTGTAACGTTTCCTCCGTAGGACGAACGGCGGTGAAAGTATTTTCACGTATGATCGATCAATCTCTGCCGAGGTAGATGTCCCTTAAATTTTTGGTGCTCCATGGACACCGTTAAGTGCACTTTTCATGAAAAAATGGCCTAGAGTAAGGTGGTAGTAGGTTGCAGCAAAGTGTTTGATAATAATAAGAAGAGAATGAGAAAAGAAAAACGTTATACGAAGATTATTGATTGCGAATTATTTAACGGAGTAATATAAAGGATAAATGATGGCAGGAACATTATTTGAGCGCGCGATTAATGTCGAATGTGCTACATTTCTAATCGGCCTGGTTTGGTACAAAATATGTATGATGAGTTGTAAAAAGTTGTAAAACGGGGTGAAAAGTGGAAACTTGTTCTGGTCACGAGAAATTGCCATTTTTTTTAGGTATTTTGAATCTTTTTTTTTTTTTTTTCGTTTTTTTTTTTTAATACTGTAATTACCGATAACGATTAATAATTATTATCCGAAGACGAATATTGTTAATATAATGATAATTAATTTTAATCTGTAAAGACGAGTAAATACAAAATAAGGAAGGTAATGATTTACTTGAAAATATAATAGCAATGTTAGATATTTTATTGATATTTATTGATTACAAGTGACGGTTTTAAGATCGATGAAAATCACTAATTCAATTTAAGGGAGACATCGGAAGAGGAGAGTGCGTGCGACAAGCCGATGCTGTTCAACGGATTCAAATGTCTGAAACACCCAACCGTACCTTCGAAACCCGACCTTTATATCATTTGATCCTCTTCGTTTTTCTCCTTTTCTCGATTGTACGCACCATGAAGATATGTGCTTTCGGTTTTCAATAGGTTAACTCAATTTTCTGTGTATACAGCGATCAAAAAGAATTTCGATCAGCATAAGATCTGGCGTAATAGCTCGAGCCGACCGTGATTTTGATTTCGGTGGTGGACATGTTCTAAATAATTTTCTCTCCGCTGAAGTCGCCGACCTGAGTGTTCGCGAGAGTGTACGGTCTGCGAGGCGCATGACAAATCGAACGTATAATTATATGTACATCCCCGCAAACATGTATAATATACATTTTAGTAACGTGGGTCGTACGAGAAATTGCGCGGAACGTGCTATTTTTAAATTATTCTATATTATTTATAGTCCTTATGAAATTTCTCACACCCTCGGTGATGAGGTTTAACGAAATAATAAACTAGCTTTAGCAACTCGTGTGATGGGAGACGAAATTAGATTTATTATTGTATACCTTCTACCTGCTAAATCTTTCTTACGACAGTTTACTCTCTGCACTTCTGTCTCGCGTACTCACTGTATCGCCTATATATTATATATATATATATATATTTCTTTCTTCTCCACTTCGTCTTTCTTCCTCTTTCCGACTTTTCCGTCGATCCTCGCGTTCTTGCACTTGCGTTACGGTGCGCTTAAAATCCGTTTAGTATTTCACGCATCGACCCACTTCGTAATTATTAATTATTGTATTTACAAGTAAAAATGGCATAAGAGCATCACAACTCATTCGCACGTATAGTAGGTCACTTTGAACACTGCTTTCTTTTTTAATTATTTTTCACGACACCCAACCACACCTTTCGACGGCGATTTGTTCTTTGTATTTTTCATATGTGCGTGAGAGTGTTGGGCTGCGTGAGAATGCGCGTGTGTAAGGATTCAAGTCTCTCGAAAGTGTAACGAGTGAGAGAATGAGTGGAAAATGAATGCGAAGAAGTTTACAAAACTAATCGAAAGGAGTGATTGAGAAAAATTTGAAGAAATTTGCAAGGTAACGTTAATTCGTTAAGCATACGGCAGCGGGAGATTTGATTAGTCTGAATTCGATTGTCAAGACTCATCGTATTTGGTGGTGATTATTTTCTTTTGCGCGAACGAAGAAAGTGAAAATGAAATAAGGCAAAACAGAGAGAGGGAAATATAATCACAAGATACCTTTCTCAGCGAATTCTCAGTTAACGAGCGTTAAATGGAATGGAGCGGATGGCAGTGAGAGAAGGTGGCAAGAATGAAAATCGTAAATATCACGTGTGTAATACCTGCGCTGTTTTAGATGATTCGTAACATTGTTATATGCCCGTCCAGAAGTTTCACCTTCTCAAATGTCCCCTGATTTAAGGAAGTAAACTTTCGTGGGATGTAAGGAATTAAAATTGAAATGTAAAACGCTTCTTCGAAACACGTATAAACATACTACTATTCTAATGTCTAAACGAGAAAAAACGGAAAAATAGTATAGAACTATAAATATTGTGCTTGTTTTAAAAAAAAAAAAAAAGAGAAAACGAAAGATGGATTAATGATATCGACGACAAAAAAAAACGAAATGAAAGAAAGGAAAATTGAAAAAATTGTCTGTGATTATCAGTCATAATAATCTTTAGGTCGACATATTTTTTAGAAGATATTTTTTAGAAAATTACAAAATTTATAATATAACCTTATTATTGATATGATATTGGATCAAACATGCTACGCATAATATTAAAGTAAAAAAAAAAGAAAAAGATGAACTGTAAAAGTTGCAAGATGTTTAATAGAGTTATTACTATAGTTGAGATCGATGGCTGTTGTAAAATATTCAGTGTTTGGACAAATAATTATTAAAACTATTTATAACGACTAATATCAAGGTATATTAATATTACGATATTGCATATATTAGTAGTCTTTCTAACCCTTTGCGTTCAGATATATTCAGCATGAGACTAGACTCTAGTATCGTACCAGAATCATTAAAGCTGAACCACAAACGAAATGTTATTAAGATAATGGGATGCTGCGATAAAAAGGAAAGCATCATACCACACGTTTTTGCGTGCAAATCGTCGTTATAAAATCCATCTACTTACTATAGAAAACTATGAAGTAATCGTAACATTTAACCGGAAGATATTATGCGTATTGCATAGAGAAACACATAGCCGCTTTCATCATAATACACCCACACACTTGCCTACGTATCCGCATTTACACGAGAATAAACACACAGGTACGCCGACACGTGTCCCCTCTTCTCTTTCTCACAAAAATACAGATTTAACACAATTACTAAGCTACACTCGTCCACACGTACACACACGCCCATGTTTTTGTAATTAAATGTTTTGTTAGTATTATACGAGAAAATTAACAGAATAAAAACACAAATGGAAATATATATATATATACACATATATAGCGTGGTCATTCGGTGTCTTCCTTCGTCGACATGATAACTCGGACAAATAAAAAGCCGGTGCTATGTGTGTACTTTGTTGAAATAATATTTTCGATCGTCTCACTAACTACAGGATCGACTGGCAATGATTCATGACACGTTTCCATGATTCGCAAATCGACCGACATAACCGCTTATGGCAGACACGATCAACCTGCATATTTAGTATTAAAACCTCTTGTATTTTTGAACGTACGTAAATTGCAAAGAAACTGTCATAAACGTTCTCCTTTCAATAAAGGTAATCCTTGTCCCTCTTGTATGATTATTTTCACATCATCGGGAATCAAGAGGGAATCGTAAGGGTATCCGTGCGCGCAGTGATTGGACAGTCAGCGCAATAATTTCAGTAGGAAACACAGAGAAAAAGAAAAGTACGTGCACTTCGTCATTTCCGCGAACACGTTTTATTCGTAATATTTCTATACCTAGTGACGTCACGAATCTCTATGAATTTTCGATTTCATGTGAAAACCGTTACGGATAACGTGTGACAGGGAACTGACATTATGGCGTCGACATGTCTCTGCAGGGCAGCGGGAATTCTGGGTATTTCAGACAATTTTGTTCATTGTTATTTCGTAATTCGCTCGGAGCACCAAGTCTACCGATATCTTATCTCTCCTTATTCGTTCCCATAATAGTGTAAACTGAGTCGTGTTTGTAATTTGTTATGCTAACGCTTCATTATAAAAATTTCATGCATTAGGTCATGCGCTCTTGCGTTGCCTGCAAATTTTATAGTATTTCTTCTCTCGCCCAGTTCACTCACTCTTTCGCTCGTAGCAGTGAGTCACGCGTTTCGTACAGATGTAGCTGTTTCATGGGATGCTAATGAAAGAACTCATTTCTGCGAATAAGTCTAGTGGTCTTTTTTCTGCTTAATTTCATTCTCAAGAGACGTATGTGACGTATGTATGTGATTACTTTGAATAATAATAACAATAATGAATATTACTGACGACAAAGTCATTTAAAGTTAGATGAGTTATAGTAGATCATAACCATACTAATTTGTTTATGGCTTCTAGTGAATTTTTTCATATTTAATTTAAACCATATTGCGATTAGACTTTATTTCGGGCAGCTAATGCTGTGTAATATAGATATGTGTATGTATATATATGTATATCCGCGAAATTTCGACCAATACGCATGCACTGACGAAATTAACTAGCTAGAATCCTTTTGGAATCTGGGAGATACTGCATAGACTACACTCACTCGCATTCTTTACGCCCTGAAGTGGCTAGTGGCAGTCTTATTTTAGATAGAATAGGAAAACGATATGGGTGTTAAAAAAAAATATAAGGTTGCTGTTTCTGGATGTAGCGAAAAAGCAATACACGTGTTACGGTAATAAATATTTTTGGTTGCTATTTAGGTTAGCTACCTTAAGTCACAAAAATGTGAGCAATTTCAAAGCGGGATGTGTCAAAAGGCTCATTACCAAAGACTTATACGCACCATGGTATATCGTTAATAATGCACGTAATACATAAAAGAGGATATATCCTCTTACTTATATATACTGATATATCCTCTATCCTCATTATTACTGTATATATACAGTACGAAAATTTATAAATAGTATTGAACCTTGCTTATTCGCGACGTGAATTTTTAAATATCTACAATAGGTGTATTTCATTTTATAAGCAGTTCACCGAGTCTAAGTTTAATATATTCTTTATAAAAACTACGTGCTATAATGAAGTAACTCGGAATCACGTCCGACAGTCGATAAAAGATGTATAATTTTAATCGCTAATCTTATCCATATTCGATACTTGTTTTAGGAACTGGAAAAAAAATGTATTTCTTCTCTTGAATCAACATACAAAAATATATTGTAGTCGTTATAAGGTGCGCGAAGCATGAATGCCAGTTTCTCGTCGTCAATACTTTAGGTCTTGTTTTCAGGAAAGAAAAAGGTGAGTCATCATTATTTCCATCCGAAGTCTCCAATTATTCTCAAAGAGCATTAGAGATCAATGTACGCCGCAACCGTTAATGATGTCATAGCGCGACGGCGCTTTCGAGAACGTTTGCTTTTCTCCTATAAATAACGAATATGTACTCGAAGAATCCTCGTCGATTAGATCTTCATGATCATTCAGTTTTTTGTCCTCAGCCTCTTGCTTCTTTTTTTTTGCAACCAGAGGAATGGATTGCGTCGTGCACAACGTAGTAACATTCGTGAGAATCTAACAGATATCAGCAAACGTCAAAAGGACGATGTTCATTTCTTTGTCACGTAGCACTTCTTGACTTCGTTCCTCTTTGACTATTGTGTAAACAAGCATCCATGTGGTTTATCCAAAATTGAAAATTGTAGAATCTTCAAATTCACCTATACATCTGAACGCGAACATTCGTCGTGTCACCAGAGCGATAAATAACGAGACTCGTTTATATTCGCAATATCGCTGGGAAGATAGTTGGAATGAAGCGCATCGCGGTACAGCACATGAAGCGTTTAAACATACATGACGTATACTTTAAACGATTCCAAAAACCGTTTTATTCTGCGCGATACTACGTTACTACGAATACGTGAAGTCTTACGTATTACACGCAGAGGTCGAGCATACAATCACATCTGTTTTTAGGAATTTTTGAACAACAGTTGTACCGCACGCTCTTCATTAGCCAGGTGTGATATTCCATCTATTAAAAAGTAGTCGTTATCAAGTATCAATAAAAAAATATAATAGCTTATACGAAACTTTGTGAATTTGTTTCTTTTTAGTTTTATACATTGCGACGGCAACCAGGGTGGCGGCGACGCCGACATCCCACGCGTTTGCCGTGCTGATGTGTGTACAGAAGATACGTAGATATATAGACGTAAATATATAGAAAAACGTAAGTATACGGAATGGCCCTGAGTAATATAACGTGGCTCTCTGTCATTAATCATACAAAATAAAATGCGTGTCTTTGCAAAGAGTGGGTTGCATATACGTACAAATAAATGGAAGATTGAGATCTCATCTACGAGAGTAAGAAGCTTTGAGATCGCACGACGATCTCTTGCCAAAGATTTCTATTTAGAGACACACGGGCATCCTTTGTATACGGGAGACAGCGCGCAAGCGAGAGCTCATAATTCCAAAGGAAGTATCAGCCGGCTATGTTGCGACGATATAGCGCAAGGAAAGCGTCGTGACGCTAACGTGTATGGAAGCAATCCAACATATCGATCTCAGGATATCATCCGCATTAGCACGCTCGACCGGATCCCCTGCATTAGCGAACGCAGGAGAGAGGACGGAAGGATGAAAAGCCATTGAAAAAAATGGAAAGACAGAAGCAGGTAAGGTATAGTTACCATCAGAAGTGAGAGGGGAAGAAAGAATGAGAAAGAGAGAGAGAGAGAGAGAAGCGACGCTTTGTACGCATCTTTCTCAAGAATAAATGAGAGAGAGTAAGAGACAACTCGTATTCCATTCTGCAATATCGTAGACTCTACCGCTGTTTCGCTCCCTACGATTCGACGTATAGCAGTGAGGAAGAACGGGGAAGAGGCTATGTGTCGCTATGTGGAAGCGCTACTAGGAGCTTCTCCCTCTTGACTTAGCCTCCTCATTCTCCTTATCCTTTACACTCGTTCGCGTTCCTCTTCCTTCATTCCTCCCAATCATTCCGTCGTTCCCTCGTTCCTCTCGGCGTCCCCTGGCCTCTTGCCGCCACACGATCCGTCCCTCTTCGTCTCGCAGTGGACGGTGTTAGTCACCTCAAGGACGTTCACTGTAATTGGGATAGGTCGGATAGACGTTAGAGCCCGCGCCGGTGCGTGCGTTTCTGTAAATGGCGCCTGGCCGGGCGTCGCGCACTCACGACTCTCTCTTACGTAGACGTTTGTTGTGTCGTAGCGGCGTAACCCGAGGAAATTCAACGTGCGCGAGAAGTACTGTTGTGCGTGCGTGCCGTGTCCTATCCTCGGCCTTGATATACGCGAATTGCATATCGCGTTAAAGCTGCAGCGTTTTCGTGTGCGGTAAGAAACATGCCGTGCTACGGTGGCTCGTCGTAGCGACGCTAGCGCCGCGAGGTACGAGAGAACGATCGTCGTCGTTGTCGTTCGTCGTCTCCACGCAGCCGCCTTCACCCCCTTTGTTCGAACTTCAGCTGGTTGCTGGCTGCGCCGAACTAGCCACAGGTAAAATTCAGGGCCGAACCTGGTGCGTGGTGCGCCCGGCTCCGATGTGACTTTTTTCATTCTCAAAGTGGGGTTAGGTGATATCCGTCGTGAATATGTTTATTGGACTCCATCCACTTGGACGCGACGTGAGCCTAACCGAGTGTACGTAGGTATATGTGTATATATATATATATATATATATATCATATACAATACGCTGGGACAGCGTGATATACTATACCAGGGGTTGTATGTACGCTTCGAGATAAGCCTGCAAGAAAGTAAGATAAGAATAATACTCTTGGATGAAATAAATCGTGAGCCTGTGTGTATCGTTACTATTAAACTACTATCGAGGAATTATGTGACTAAAATTCCTGGAATGTAGTGTGGCCTGTAGGAGTCGATGATGACGAATCTACAGCGTTTTGTATGCGGCAACAAAAGACGAAATCCATGGAATTGCTTCTTGAATTTTATTCTCTTCCTCTTATTGTCAGAGCGGTTATTGGCCTGATTGAACTCCGGTGACTTTGTACCCACGATTCAGGCTCAAAGGGCCAGACTATACCATCCAATCAGGAATGTCTTTCCTGTAGTGCGGTGTCCAGTAGCGAGTGTCACGACTGTACGCTTACCGGTTACACCGTCAACAAACCGGAAGTTGTAGCGTCGAGCACCGGAAAATCCTGTGCATGTCATTGACTGCATTAGCCGGGAGAGTACGTAAGATCCTAATCCACTGAAAAACCAACCAACCATTATAACCCAGCCAGGGATACCTGTACGGTAATTTCAGTTCTTGGT